CGAAACTTCACTCCATCAAGTTTCGATCTGGGGTGAACAAAATCTTGTCCAATTTAACCCCAAAAAGACACAAGTCTGCGCGTTTACCGCAAAAAAGACGCCGTTTGTCGTATCTCCTCACTTTCAGGGCACTTCCCTTGATAAAAAGTCGAGTCTAGGAATTCTGGGCGTTGATATATCTTGCGACGTCCAGTTTTGCGGTCATCTGGAGGAGAAGGCTAAGATAGCTTCCAAGAAGTTAGGAGTGCTCAATAGGGTGAGACGATATTTCATGCCAGAACACCGCCTGAAATTATATAAAGCCCAAGTCAGGCCGCATATGGAATACTGTTCTCACCTGTGGGCAGGAGCGCCACAGTACCAACTCCTTCCGTTAGACCGCATTCAAAGTCGGGCGGCTCGAATTATCGATAGTCAACGCCTTACTGTCCGACTTGATCCACTGAAGCTGCGCAGAGATATTGCATCTCTGTGCATCTTCTACCGAATTTATCATGGGGAGTGTTCTGAGGAATTGTTCGGATTGATACCTGCTGCTGATTTTCACCACCGTACAACCCGCCACAAACTAAAGTTTCATCCCAATCATCTGGACGAGTGGCGGTCTTCCACCGTGCGTTTTTCAAGGCACTTTCTTCCACGCACAACCATTCTTTGGAATCAACTTCCAGCAGCAGTATTTCCGAACCGATACGACAACATAACCTTCAAGAAAAGAGTATATTCCTTTTTAAAAGGCCGGCAGCACACCTGCAATGCCGCTGGTGTTGTGGGTGATCATGGGCGGCGGTAGTCACTTACCATCAGGTGAGCCGCATGCTCGTTTGCCCCCTGTGTTGTAAAAAAAAAAAAAAAAAAAACTAACAATCCCTCCCCCTAGAATATTAGTTTTTTTTTAATGGGTGTCAATAGAATGGCATCCCATCCGCGCTATCGGTATACACCGGCGGGGCTCCAGTGAAGGATGATAGGTGAGGATGAAGTAGGTCAGTTAGCTCATCGTGACGAATTCAACAAGAACTGTGTCGACCTAATATTGCTAGCATAGCTGTCAAACTCCATTGCTAACAATCCCCCCAGAATGTTAGTTTAGATGAACAATAGCTGTACAGTTACTGGCGGAATGAAAATTGACAAGAAGATTGTGGTGGAAACTATTAAATTAAATACAGGCTAGAAAATATAAATAGAAAAAGATTAAATTCATTCCTAAAACTAACTACTAACAAGTAGAATTTGCTCAGCAGTTGTTTATTAAACTTCTTCAATACTAAAAAAAATATGGAAGAAGACGGAATTAAACGCCATTGATTTCAATAAATTAAGGTTGTGTTCCACAAAATAAAAATCGACTTCAATCGTGGCAAAATCAATTATTGTGATTTAAAAACTACGGATTTTGATACAATTTCTATAAAACCAATTTGTAAGTAAGGTTTACAACTGACGGAGATAAAAAAAAATAGAACCGGTTTGAGAACTCCATTCTTTTTGAAGTCGGTTGAAAAGAATTATTAATATCTATTTACAATAAGAAATAACGTAACATACAAAAATATGCAGATAAATTTATAAACCCTCCTTTTTTAATAAAACTAAATTGAAATTTGGCAAGATTATAACTAAAAATAAAAATAAAACAAAATAAAAAACTTAAAAGAGCTTACGATAAAAATTTCCATTATGTTACACAATCTGTGAAATTTAAATTAACATTTAAAACTGATCTTATAAAATAGCAAGGTAAATATTCAAAAACGTCCAGTTGGTAGTTGGTGTCATAAGCGAGCCATAAAGTAAAATGTTTAGGGCGTCATTGCGAGAAGAGCTAGCAATTGAGACATCGTATTGTTTGGCGGGCGCGGGAAGTAACGAGCGCGCAACTTGCTTAATGCAAGCAACAATTATGAGTATCAACACTATGGGTGACGCTCCCCTTTACCGAAATTACCTTATTTCATCACTTTATTATACTTGTACGGAGGCTTTATAGTTTATGGAGCGGTGGGCGAAAGGAAATAAAGCCTGAGAGGTGGGAGCAACGAGTGCAATGAAATGACGCCGTAAATATCACATCACTTATATATATCGAACATAATATTTTAACGAAAGTAGTAATAATGGTGAAGTTATTTGGAAGGTAATCTAAACTAATTACATCAGGTAATGGTGCACGGAATTATAACAATAAGTCATACGTAATTTTTCATTTTAATGGATCTATGTATATTTTATTTATCTAGAGTATTGATCCACAAGTCCATATACTCGAAATTATATATACAAATTATTCAATTTAAAAAAAATACCACAAATGAGTAGAATCAAAAATCTAGTTTCCATTTTTGTGAATGGTTTTTTTTTTGCAGTTTAGAGTGACAAAGACGCTATGGTATGGTACTGTAATTGAAAGAAAGTGATAACTGTCGCCTATAGACATGAACAGCACTATTACATAATATCACACATATCACATACATTACATTTATGGTCATGTAATTTCACTACCTATGGGGGATCTTCAAACTGAAATACAGCCCATGCAAAGATAAGTGCTTCACAACAAAAATACGAGTGTGACAGAGGTACACAAGCAGATGACTTTTGTATGTACAAAATTCCTCTGAAAATTCTACATAATGTAAGAATGACTATCGTTCACATCAGGATAATTGTATGTTCTTAGTGTTTTTTGTTATAATATTTAATTATAATATTTATTTCAGAATTGAATAAATTTTTTTTTTTTATAAAAACCATATAAATATTGCACTAAGCGGTTTTTTTACATGATAATTTTATTGTAAAAGACATCAATATATTATTAACAATAAATAGCAAAGTATAAAAAGCCAAAATTGGTCATATTTGAATATTGTATGACCATGCTGTAGTTATTCATTTGCCAGTATAAGAGGCTTGAAATAAAAAAAATTGCAGTAAAAGTATTGTAAACATTTAATGAGCACTATTTAGTATTTCATTAGTTAAAGATATATTAAGCAATATTCTTTAGCCACTACTTCATTATTATTTAATAAAAAAAAGTATGAAATAAATTATTTAAGAAAACTTTTAAGTGGTTGGAGATTTTTTACAACAGAATCCAGTGATCCCATTGCTTAAAACACCTTCCTTGGTGTAAAGTGCGGTTGATCCCTGGAGAATTTTTCTAAATCAGCCAACTAACCTTAAAGAATTAAACTATCATGCCTCACAAGGGCCATAATTCAATATAGGTCTAATATATTATTAGAATATTTTTCATCTGTATGAAAACAGAATATAAATATAATAAATCACTGCTCCTTTTCAATCTCTTTCTAGTTTGTTACATTTCAACTTTCAGGTTTAGTAAACATTAATAAGGTTAAGTGATTCTTAGTACAATTATTTAATGATAAATATAATGTAATATAATCTCAATCTAAGAACATTAGGAAATCTTTGCACAATATATATTGAAAGGTACATGAAAAGGAAATAAACTACAACAAGCTGTCTGACTAGTATGGTAATAAAACATCAAAATCTTCACCCATAAAGGAAAAAACCCATGATAAGTATTGAAATATCCATAGATTGTTATGGATGGCTGGACGATACAGAATAAATTTTATATTCAGTAGAATACAGAATTTATTCTGTATATATACTGATAACTTACTATTGAATTTAACAAAAATAAATGTAATATAATTATTTATGTCAGCTATACTCATGTTAAAAAAATTAGGGATTTCCGACTAGTTTCAAACTCAATAGAAGTCTCTATTAATGAGCATGGTTCAAAGCTGTGTTGCTAGTTATTATTCAACAATAGCATAATTAATATTAAACTTTCCCATTGTTTATAAATATCTTAAAACATAAATTTCAGGTATATAGGTACTATTTACCTGTACTTTTGTTGTGTGTTAAGTGTCGATTGTTAGTTTAAAACGACATAATTATTAATAGATATATATTTAATCTTCATAATTTGATTTCGTTTATATATTTAATTAATACTCTTTCACAAATTACAATACTCATAAAACTAATACATTTCACAGAATCACAAAAAAAAATTCAACAATCCCATGATGATCCGTACCTGACCCAAAGGTCCTCATGATACTTGCGGCATTTCCGCGGTGGATTGCCAGAGATATCCTTTGAGCCAGACATAAATTAATAGATATGAGAATAAATTTAATATAATAAAGGTTTCATAAATATCCAATTATTAATTAATAGGTGATTACGTTGTTTTTTACTATATTAATTAAAGATATTGAATAACAAAAAAATACAGTCATAATCAAATAATATAATAAACATAATAATGTCATTATTATGTCACTTAGAACCCTAAGGGTTTTTTCACTGACCAAATCCTTACTAAGTAATAATACATGAGCTACTATTAATTCCACAATCAAAATATCCTGGTCATACTGAAAAGTCATGAGTACAATCTGGTATACAGCCTAGGTAATCGAAGCTAGTGGCAATTTTTTTAGATACTTTGTCTTACAAGCAATCTGCATTCTGTGACATAATTAACAAGTTTCCATTTTCTTAGAGTAAGAATTTATATATTTGCTTCTATCTATTATGCATTATCTAAAATATACTGTAAACACCGCAAAACTTTAATAGATATAATATTTATTACTTGATAAAAAGTGTTAATAGAAATTTGTAATAATTCTTTTCAAGAGTTGAATAGCATCTAATGGCAATTATACAACAAAAAGCCTGTGATATAAAAATAAATATACATAACTAATTTATATTCTTTTATTTATACTGTTTACAGAGATGTAAACACTATACGTACTTTTCACAAACAAAAACAACTAGACATATGTATCAGTTTCTACGTTAAAACCATGATTATTTTTACCGAAGTAAACTTATTCAATTGGAAAGTTAATTTACAACATTGTTAGGTATTAATATAGAAGAATACAAAAAGTTTTTAAAAGTAAAGCATAGTAAATCTATTTTCATACCAGGACACTGGACGACAGAGGCGCCGCAAAGGTTACAAAGCACAAACACAGATTGCAATATTAATTATATAAATGGCCTGATAAGTATATATTTAACTTTATTTAGGAAACATCACAACTTCACAGTTTAACACTGGCCACATATATTAATGCAATCCCGTCATAAATAATTGAATAAACCAAAAATTCAACTCCAAAAGTCCAAAGAAACCAAGCAAACTTCAACCTATAGTCACAGATTAGAAAGACTATGTATAAGTTCAGTTTGACACCACAGATCATAGAGATAATCTACTGTCAATAGTGTCAGTATAACTCTATTCCGAAATCTTTGGTATAACTATGGTGTCAAATGCCACTTCATTGTTTTTAATTTAATTAACATTTAAATGAAAATACAAGTGTTTAATTTTATAATTACAATACATTGCATTTTTTTTGTAAAACAATCTTTAGATATGGTAATATGGCACATCAAAATATTTAAAAAATAATCTTATCCTTTGAAGACAAAGTACTAGAGACTACTCTAAAGAAAAGACGCAAGAAATAAAAAATAGTAGCTTTTTTTATGGAATTTAAATTGGCAAACAATCTGATAGTCCACCATATGGAAAATGTTAACTATCATCTATAGAATTAGACATAAACATTTAATAATGAAGATTATTTGTTTACATGTGTGCATTTAGTCCAATTTATATTTTTCGTATGGTCTAATATAGCTACAACATAATTGTTAATGTGTTTCTTTTATTTATTTTTTTACAAGAGGAAAATTATACAAAAGTCGTCTGCTTCGTTACTTTACCCTATTCGAATTCCTACCATAAAGTAATTGTTTGTATGTCTTTGTTTCGGTTTGAAAGGTGGGATGTGGTAATGAAATTACAGGGTACATAGGCTTGACACTTTAGGCATTAGTTCTCAGGAACGGCAACGCGTGAAATATATCATAGACGACACAATATACTTTGTTATGTTCATATTACTGTTTATGTCGTTGAAAGAGGTGATATAGAATTGCTGACGAGCGTATATTATGAAATAAGAATAAAATGACATCACTGAGCAAAAAAGTTAATAAAATAAATTACTGTTTTAACTGCGAGGAGGATTAGTAAGATACCTATTTATTTTGAACGGGTAATATAAAATATTAACTAATCTTATTATTTAGTAATGTAAACATCAGTTTTTTGCTACCTATTCTAAATATCATAAACAAAAATTAAATTGAAATCTAAATTGAATTGGCTACTTGATTAAATATGTTATGTATGTGGAAAAAAAAAATCGCAGGTACTATCCTTAATCTGAGGACGTAAGCAGCATTAGATATGATCAAAAACAATTTGTATGGAATCTATGTAACTATTTTGAAATTAAAATGTATAATTTGAAAATTCTACATTATTGTTCGCGACATTGTAATCATTTGTATAGTTATAGCGATATTTTATAGTTATTTGTTAGCATAAATCATTAGTTTTTTAATCGTTTTAAATTGTTAATTTTACATAGATTTTTTATTATGTATCTATAGCTCGTAAGTTGAATAAATCATTTTTATTGTGTCTTATCATTATTACCCGTAAATAGAATAAGAAAGAAATTGTAAAAATAATAGAAATAAGGATAATTGTACAAATAAATAGACGCCGAAACGGTGCCACTCTGAAGAGTAACGCGTCCCTTTCACACTCGCCCCGTCCCGCTCGCACAGACTCGCTAATGCGAGTTGGTACATGTTGTCGTGCGACCGGGCATAAAGATAGGCCGCCTACCGTCGAGCGGCACGCACTGAAGCACTGCACTCCCAACCGATAAGAAATAGGACAGAAACTCTTCAGAACGGAACCGGGGGCTTCAGAAAAGGAATTATTGTGTTTCACTCCAGCCTGAACCAGCGCCCCTACAGTCCACGCTCACCGAGCGGTCAAGCTGCACCGTACAATTATGAACTAGATGGATCTGTTATAATAACAATATAACATGTAAAAAAATATGATTATAAGAAGTCGATACCTACTGATAATGCACAATGTATTGCTATACTATTTTTTGTCCATTGGATATTATATAATATTTTCTATTATTTATTGTATTAATATATTTGTTTCAAAGTGGTTGTACAGATTTTTTCTCAATTTTATAAAATTAAGGTAGTGTCTACTCTGTAAAGCAATAATTAATTATGACAGTTTCGCAGTTCGTAATGAACATAGGCCAAGAGTAAAGGTATACATATTTATATTTTATGGTTATATGTTTCTTATTAATTTTGTGAAATAATTACAGAAATGAATTTTGTTTTTCGAAATGGTGTATTAAAATATGTTGCGGCAAATTATTTCCGATCACAATGTACTGCTACAAAATTAAATGCTCCTTCCAACAGAATTGTGCATACTAGCAGTACATCATACGATCTTATGGAATTTTTTGATGATAAAAAGAATTGGAATGAGACCAATATAAAGGTAGGAAGAGCATGGAAGCTGGATGAATTGCGTATAAAGTCAAACACAGACTTACATAAATTGTGGTATGTGTTGTTAAAAGAACGGAATATGCTTTATACTATGGAGCATGAATGCAAAGAAAAAGTTAGGTTATTTCCAAATCCAGAAAGAATTGATAAAGTTCAAGAATCTATGAAGAATATTGAAACTGTTGTACGAGAACGCAATATTGCATATTATCAATTAGAAACTGGTGAAACTGGTGAACGGCCTGTGGAAGAGGTTGTGAATCTGTTTGGTTTACCAGAGAAATATGAAAAATCAGAATATATGGTACCAAAGTTCATGAATACCAAATGGGTGAAACCATATCTTGAACATGGTTTAATAAATAGTATAGCAGTGAAGAAATTCTACAGATTATATAAAGAGAAATTGCATAATGAGAGTAGGAAGGCTCGGAACAGAGATTATAATCATGTACAACAGCTTCTTAAGAGATTTCCTGATATGGATTTGGAAAAGTTAAGAGAACAATATCCTAATGTAGATATAGAAAAAGCTATGAGAACAAAGAAGGCTCGAGGGCACTATTTTCCAAAATATTAATAACTAATGCATCTTACAATTAAACAAAAATTACCTTCATTATGTAAAAAACAAAAAAAGTAAAGATTTCTTTCTACATTAATACTGTTGATTTTTGTCTTGAAGTGCATTGAGTATTATTACTAAAGGTATATAAAAGATTCACACTCCATATTGTTAAAGTAAACAAAGTTAGTAACTTCAATTTGTTTTATTTTTATCCAGTATAAATTTATAATTACACCATGTACTTGGCAGGAACAGCAAAATTTTATAAAGAAAAAAATACATAAGCACTTAAAAAACCAGTGGCAGTAATATTTATTAAATATTTTATGGCTCAATCTCTTCTCATACAGGTAGGAAAATTGATTTCATTATAAACAAATTTTAAGACTATGTATTAAAATAGTTTTCTAGAATAATTACACATGAGAAATTGACTTGGTTTGACCAAGTAAATTTTTCTAGTCTAAACAAATGATAATGATCTTTGACAAATACATATTTTTTTATCTATGATATATACATAGAATACATACCTGTCTCCCATTAGGATAGTTACAAATAAAATAAAGAAGTCCCTCCTTGAAGTTACTTATTCTTTATATTTATTTTAGTTACTTTTTTAGGTGGCACTATCTATATGGTAGGTAATCTGATATGGCAGTTATATTAATTCACAGCACCCTGCTTTACATTGTAAGCCTGGTACTGAGAAGACATACTTGGAGAGTGTAATAAGATTATTTTGCCTTCAACATTATCATATATAGTTATATTCAGGTCATATTGTCTATATTAACAGGTATCTGAATCAAAGTTTCATATCCTTGTAATATAAATAATTCATATAAATGTGAAAGATTGTGAAGATGTTTGGATATTTGTTACTCAATTATGCTTAAATTGCAGAATGGATTTGAATGAAATTTGGTGTATGGTAGGTCTTATCCTTATTTAGGACACTATATCAATATATTGTTTTGCTCATATGAATCAGTATTTACATGGAAAAAGACGAGGGGAACAGATAGTATTGCATAATTACCATTTAATAATTACTATAGACTGATTCAATTGAATTTAATTAAAAGGTGACCAATTTATGTTGAAATTATTACAAAAACACTAATCTCTATTTATTGAAAATCAACAGATTATTTTATGGTTTTTATTTCTTTACATTTTCTAGTTTTATTGACACAGATCATATTTCTCATATAAGTAGTTAACATGTTATATGTAGTTGTCGCCATATATGCTATGCTATTTTTTGTGTAACAAATCATTGTACATTTTTGACCATAATAATATGAAACTAAGAATTATTTACATGAGGGAAATAGTAAAGGCACATATGTAGATCAAAGACATTAATTTTATATCTTTTTAAAATTTATTTTAAATGTGATCAACATATGGCATCAATTATAAAAAAAAATATTAAGTACATAAAAAAATTGAGTTACTCAACTTGGTCCTTTTTTATCCTAGAACAGTACAGTAAAAACTAATCAATATCACAATATTCCTTACAAGTTATTTTGTAATAAATGTATGTAAGTTACTAATTAATACTATTTTACTCTATTTTGTTCATGAAGTTTTTGGCTCTTACTAGTGACTAGTACAAATTACTAATGACAGAATAGTTATTTAAAGTATAGATAGAATATGTCAACAAAATATTAGAGCAAATTGTGAAGATAAAATACAAACAGGAAGATAATATAAAATTTCAAGCATAAGTAAATTACATTTCTTACATAGGTTTATTACTATATAAAATCTGATATTTCATAAACCTAATAAGCCAATTTTCTCAAATACTTTTAGAACCTCAGGCAGTTCTCCAGTGGTTTTCAAATTATGTAATATCAACACAAGTTCTTGTAGTTTCTGGAATATAGACCTGTACTTTTTTATGAAGTGTTCTGTAACACTATATGAGCTGTAGTTTGTAACCTGGTCAACAGTATCATTATGTGTAAGTATCTGTTCATTCAAACTATCCAATGTTTCTTGAATACGTTCCACATTAAATGCATCAAAATATGCCTCCAGTGTTATATACATAGTGTGAACAACATAATTAATATTAATTTTGTAATCATCATTTAAAGAATCTTGGTCAAATTTAGGATATACTCTATAATTTAGGGAGCTAGATTTTGATGATGATCTCCAACTTCTACACATTTTTGAAAGAAAGTGCAAAATATTTTTAACTCTTTTGGGTTTTGTGTCATATTTTTTTGATATATTGATTTCATTTTCACTCATTGGATATTGATTCCATTGTGATTTTTCAATAAAATTTGTTAAATTAACAATAATGTCATCAAATTGTGATGATAATAACTTTTGTACATGCAAAGAACCTACAAGGTATTGCATGTAATGTGGTTGTATCCTTTCTAGTATTCTAATAATAGATTGTGGTGGCATCACTGAAAATAAAAAGTTTAATGTGAGAAAAAAAATGGAACCATTTTATTATAATCTATGATTGTATTTCCATTGTAGGATCCCTTGCTAGGCTAATATAAAGGAATATGAATCTAGTACTTAGTTACTTAGTGTATGTAGTAGGTTTATACTAAATCTATGGCCTAATGTTATTACCACAGAGTATAATGTACTTTTCTTATTTGCTACACCCTTAGATTTAGTATTTTTCAAACACAAAAACCTCTGACTACAATATAAGTGATTATAATTATATTTATCTTTATGTTGGTAGTAGAAATTGCGCACCCATATAGTTACTCATTTCAATAGGGAAGCAATAATGAATTTCTATTTATGTTTGGTAACGAAAATAGTATTCCATGATATTATTTTCTTTCTCTCTATAAATTAGTTCTTTTTATTATCATCTTTATTTCTCTGAAGTGGCATTGCCTAATAGGTACCACAGTTCGCTTTATAATTATGTATCATTAAATTAGTGTAATAGTATAAATAAAAAATTTACATACCTGAGATGATTTTATAAAATTCGTTTGCGAAAATATTGCAATATTTGCCTGTATTTGGATAGTCACAGTTTGAGTTTTTTTCACAAATATAAAATGTTTGAATAATTATGTTAAGCCAAGTCTGAAATAATAATAATAATAGATTATTATTAAAATCAGTATTAAAAAATGTATTTGTAAATGAAACAAAAATTAAAAGAGCAGTAAAAAATAGAAATGGAAAAATAACAAGTCAATTATGCATGAGACAGTTTGTTGATATAAAGGTAATCACTTCATGTTTGTTTATTTGAATGTTATAGGGTAGAGAAAAATTGAAAAAGGTTGAGGTTTGTAGAGTAATCTACAAACCTTAACTTTTTCAATTTTTCATTTTAGAAAAATAACATTTTCCAGTATAACTAAAAAAACAATTTCTAGTATAACTCACCGTCATAATTATTATGTAATCTTGTGGATACTGTAGGTGCACCATATAGACAAACAGTTTTAAAATTTGCCTGCAGTTATTATTAACTGTACCAGTATAAAGCACATTGTTTCCCCACAAAATATATGCCATTAGCGGTTTGTGAGACCGCATGATGTGTGAGCCTAAATTATTAGTATATCTGAAAGAATAGTAAATATATAATAAATTGATATACATACATGAGATATTATGTATACAGATGTAATACAATATATGTAAATACAATATATGTAAGGATAGCAATTGCTGTAGGTAGTAATTACAGGGATCACTGCCTCACTTGGTTGATTTTTTTTAATTTATCTACTTTTAACTTACTTTGTTTACTAATTTTGGGTATTTGAATTAAAATATTGTTACATAACAATTTTAGGATCTTATTATTAAAAGTTTCATAAGCACACATTATATTTTAATGTAATAACTACCACTTTAACTTACATGTAATTAGATTGAAAAAGCTAGTTTCAAGATAAATTAATGATCCTTATTCATGAGTGGTTGTGATGCGAGCGCAAGCGTGATAGGTAGTTGTATTTATAATTTTAATGTAATACATTAAAATTTTAGGATCTCATTTATATGAATAACAAAACATGGAAAGTTTAGATATTTGTTATTCAATTATGTTTAGATTGCTGAAGGGATATGAATAAAATGACCCATTTGTTAAATTATCACATAGGATACTTTTTATATGGGATCTTCTTGATATGGGATACAGCTAATAAATGCTAATAGTACCTTGAATGCCATATAGCTAAATCATATTGCAGTAGTTCTATAATACATTCTAGAACAGACATGAGTCTTTCAATTCTCTCATTTCTTTCTAACAGTTCATAAATTTCTAGTTTTTCTTTTATCCAGTGTAAGCCTTTAACACTTTGCCTCATTTCTTCTGGAATGTTCTCATCTTTGTTTATGAGAGGTCCATCTTTACTCTCTATACTGATTTCATATTGTAGTCTGTTCATACAATATTTTACAATGCCTTTTTCACATTCAAATTGTGATCTGTTAGTAAATGTTTTCTCTTTTGGCTCCATAGGAGACATTAAAAAGTCATTGTAACATTTTCTAAGACTTTTAACCATGCATGGTGGATGTATGCTGAAGTTTTGTGACAGAATTGTTTGGCATTTATCTATTAAATATTGTATAGTGTAGCCAACATAGTTATCATCATGTGCATTCTGAAATGGTACAAGATGAAAAATTAACAGAAGTAGCATAATAATTTAATTATTCACATTTAATCAGTTAAACAGATCTAGATGAAATTTAGACAAATAGGTAGGTCCAATTCTGTGTTTAAGATAGGATTTTGTTTTAATTAATGCAGAGCTATGGGATTCAGCTACCATCATATATCTGAAGATTTAATGAGATACTTGTTCATTTGTTACTTGATTAAACTTTAATAGCTGAACAGATTTATGCTGTTATTTTTTGGATTAACATAGGATAACTTTACATTTTCATTAAAGCCATGGCTAGTTTAATATTGATATTTAAAAATAGTTAATTTATTTACCAGCATTATTTCTACTATGTCTTTTAAAACATTAGCAGATAAATATTGCTCTGGAGTGATACACAGTTGACATACTTCTAAAGCTTCACACCACATGTTAGTTTTCATTTCAATTTTAAATGATTCTTCAGCATATGATGGAATCTCCTTTATGTTACCCTGAAGAATGTATAAATAATTATTAAATAACAATAATAATTTTTAATACATCAAATCAAAACACTATTATGTAGAGACTGGTTAGTTAAATAAAAAAAAAAATAGTATGCTTTTTTATGCTGGAAACTCTTTGTATTGTAGATTATAGACAATTAGTTTACATGAGTATTTCTTTCATATTTAGTTTCTATTGTTAAGCAGTTGTATTTATACAGCACATATTTAGATTTATACAAAAGTAAGATGAGGCAGTGGAATTACAGGGTAAGTAGGCAAAACTACTTAATCCTAGGAATGGCACTGTATGAGGGGTGTCATGATTCTCAATGCATTGATGTACATGGATATTGTTAATGTTTGTAGGCACTTGTTTTGTAAGTTGACTGGTAGAGGATAGTCAGAGTATTAAGTTTTTTTTTGTACTACATTTTATTGGGGAATAATGTCAGAATAAATAAAATTGTTACTACTTTCCACTAAGTGCTCATTAGCTTGTTAGCAATTTCACATTGAATAAAATGTTGTCATTATACACAATATTGTTCTGTTCAAAGAAATTTAATATGAGAGCTTCACTTACTCCATGTTTGTATTCTTGATGTAAACAATTGCCTTTAGCGCATGTAGGTAAATAGAATAACTGGAATCGAGAACACTGATCAAAATATGCCTCATAGGAAACTCTTTCGCAAGCTGTAATAAAATTCTTTCTTTTTTTGGCCTGAAGATCATCTTTCGGGGGTTTCTCTGTCTTTACTCGTTTAAACGACGGTTCTACTGATTCACCTTGTCGCTTACATGTATTTGCAACTGATGTCGACTCTGTTAACTTCATTTTCTTTTTTTCGGAACACATTGTATTTATTAGTATTAGTTTATTAATGCGGTCATATTGTATAAAAAGCTTAAAAGAAATATTTTTTTAGAATAAAGTATTTTCTACAACTTAAAAAAGTAAATAGAAAATAAAAAAAATAAAAAACTCCAATAGTGGTCACACTGACAGTGACAGAAATGGCGATTGACATCCATAGGATCGATTCTGAGGCGCCATTTTCTAAATTTATATCTTAAATTAATTTATTTTTATTTGATAACTTTACGTTATTACTGTTTTATAAATCATCATGAACAAAATTTATAATAATTTTAACTTAAACCATTAAAAATTTAGTGCGCATTGGTTCATTGAATCAAGATTTCGCTGTGATATGAAATTTAAATTTTTTTTTTTTTTTTTTTTTTTTTTTTTTTTGTGGCGTTCACCCCGATATTAGGGTATTTTGCCAAGAACAAAACGGGGAAACGATAATAGTAATAAAAATACCTAACACAAACGAATTTAGAAAGGATAAGGATTAGGTCTAGGATATTTATAGGATATGAAACATATACTTGTACATATGAGAATATACTTATAAATATATAGGAAAAGCAATTGATGCAACTATAAATGTATTCATGTAATATAACTAAATCTTAATATTGTTATCATATATATATGAAGATAGTATTTTATAGATAATAGGATCATTGGAAGAAAGTAGAGTAAGAATAGAAGTTGGGAATGGAACACGGATGGATCGGAGATGATTAAAAAGGGAGGTGTGGTCAAATTTAGAACATGAGAAGAATATATGATTCAAGTCCGCCACTTCAGCACCGCAATTACACGACGAACTTTGTACAATACCAAGCTTGTATAAATGAGAAGGTGTGCATACGTGACCTAGACGCATACGAGTTATAATAGTTGTTGCGGTCTTTCCAAGCTTTAATTTACAAAACCATGGTTTGAAAGGAATATCGGGTTGTATAAGGCGATAAAATCTTCCTTTTATTGTACTTGTTTTTTCCCAATATTCCTTCCAGGCATACCTTAAATATATTTTTGGGAGACAAGCTAGGTCACTACAGTAATTATGATACGGATACATATCACCACAAGTTACAGCCTCTCTTGCAATAAGGTCAGCTTTGTCATTGCCGCTAATACCACTGTGTCCTGGTAACCAGGCAAAAGAAACGGAATAACCTCTCAACATGCAAAGATAAAGACTTTGTCTTATGTCACAAATAATGGGATAAACTGGTTTTGATTTAAACGGATATTTGGCTAGAGCTTGCAAAGAGCTCATAGAGTCAGTGAAAACTATTGCCTTATGTAATTTCATTAAAAGTATATATTCTACAGCTTTTAAAATACCATAACATTCCCCGGTAAAAACTGAAGACTCCGGTGGAAGTTTAATTTTTTGAACGATATTAAATTGTGAATGAAACACACCCACACCTACACAACCGCTATTATCTGGTTTTGATGCATCAGTAAAGATGTAGTGCCATTCATTCCATTCAATGTCAGTTATAAACATAAATTTGGCATTCAATTCTGAATCATTTTTTAATAACCCAAAATCATATTTAATATTAGGAGATAAAACTAAAGATTGATATGAGCATTTATAAATGGGAAAACAGGACGATGTAAAAGTGGGAGATTCTATGGATTTATATTTTTCATAACTTTGTATTAAACATGGAGGTTTTTTATGTTTCCAATAAGATGAAGACGAAATAAAGATATGTAGTTGAGATAACTTTTGAATAAGCGGATGATCAGATAATTGTAAACAACGAAAAAAGAAGCGATCAGATAGATATTGTCTTCTTAAAACCAAAGGTGGATCACCGACTTCGAGCTGTAAAGCATTGATTGGACTTGATTTCATTGCTCCAGAGATAATCCTCAAGGCCTTTGATTGAATTAAATCCAATTTCTTAAAAGCAAATGAACTTCCTGGAGCTAACAAAAAAGTTCCATAATCAATGACACTCCTTATAAGACCATTATAAGCAAGTTTTAGTGAAACGGGATGTGCTCCCCACCAAACTCCAGCAAGGCACCTAAGAATGTTGAGGTTACGCTCACATTTCGTAGAAATATAATTACAGTGGGACAGACCTGTTAATTTATTATCTAGCACGATACCTAAAAATTTAATTTCAATCTTTATAGGAATGTATGAGTTATCATAAAGCACCTTAATTTGTTGCGGTGATCTCATTCTTGAAAACAAAACTACACTACTCTTGGATACAGAAAGATTAAGACCATTTGCATCTAACCACGTTTTTAACAAATCTAATGAATCAGATAATTTGGCAGAAGCAGATTCTATGGACTTCGCAATAAAATATAATAAAAGATCATCAGCATATTGTAAAATTTTGACGGATTTATCAAGGAATAATTCTAGATCGTATGTGTATATGTTAAATAAGATTGGACTGAGAACAGATCCTTGTGGAAGGCCTTTCCATACTGTTCTAGATAATTTGGTATCTTCATCTAAATTCATATATATTGTTCTTTCTGATAAAATATTAATAATGAAATTAGAAAGCATTACCGGTACATTTAGAGCTTGTAATTTAGTTTTTAAAATAGAAATTATTACATTATCATAGGCAGAATTTATATCTAAAAAGGCTGAGAGGATTGACAAATTTTGTGAGAAAGCTATATGAATATCTGAAATAAGAATGCTCACATTATCTAAGGTGCTCTTACCTTTCCTAAAACCAAACTGGTTCGGGGATAGTAAGTTATTACTTTCTAAAAACCATTCTAGACGGTTTTTCACTAAATGTTCAGCTAACTTTAGTAAGACAGAGGAAAGTGCAACAGGACGGTATGAAGATGGTTCAGAAGGTGGTTTATGAGGCTTTAGAAATGGTATAATAATCTGAGACTTCCATGAAGTAGGTATATTTCCCGAAATAATTATGGAATTAATTATATTTAAAAAGTAAATTAATGTCGCATCGCTAGCATTTTTAAAAAAGGAATACGGTATACCGTCTTCTCCCGGTGCAGAGTCTTTAATAGAAGCTAGAACACCTTTAAGTTCTACTAGAGTAAAAGGAGAGTCAAGTTCGAATAATTCGTCAGAGACGGATAGAGAAATATTGTAAAGGCATTCCGGCACATAACTAGGAGCAAGACGATCTAAAAATTTATTCGCTAAAGTTAAATCGAGTGCAGAACGTGATGTATGATCACTAAAGGCAGATCTGAATCTTTTAATATTATTCCAAACGACTGATGAATTAACTTCTGGACAGATAGAAGAACAAAATCTTCTCCAGCCTTCTAATTTCTTTTTTTTCAGTAGTTTTCGAGTAGAACGTGAAACTGCGGTGTAAATTTCAAAATTTTCTGGTGTCATGTAATTATTATAATTTTTTTCAGCTTCTTTACGATTTTTAATTGCTTCCGTACAATCTTTGTCCCACCAAGGTGGCGAGGGAATTTTCCCTGAAGCACTATTTTTAACAGGAAATAATAAATCAGCAACCTCCTTCATATTTATCATCAAGTCATTACAACATTGATGTTCATTTCCATGGTAAACAATAGGTAACTCCGATATTTTATTATCTAAATATTGTTTGTAAATATTCCAGTCTACATTTGATAAATTATATTTAAGCCGAGGACCACTCTTTCGACTTGAGGGAATGGAAATTGGAAAAGAAAGAATGAGGGGAAAGTGATCGCTTCCGAAAGTAGAGGAATGAGGATACCACGACAGTGAAGAAGCTAAATCAGAAGAACATATTGAAATGTCAGGAGCACTAAACCCTTCATTCGGTGCAGTTCTACGTGTTGGTACATCTGAGTTAATAATACATAAGTTGTAAGTGTCAATTATCGTCAGGAGTTTTCCACCATAAAAATTAGAAGTAGAACTGCCCCACGATTGGTGTTGAGCATTAAAATCGCCCATTACGAGAAAAGGTTTAGGTAAAATTGAAAATAATTGTTCTAGTTGTGAATATATTTGGCATGTAGGATCAGGAATATATAAAGTAACAAAACAGATACCATTTATAATTATAGCAGCTGCATTAATGCCGCTATATACAGGAAGCGAAAAAGAAGAAAAAGGAAGGGAGTTTTTGACCAATATGGCAACACCGCCATATCCGTCAGCTCTATCATCACGGAGACTTGTAAAGCCTGAAATCCTAAAAGGATATCCTGGCTTTAACCAAGTCTCTTGGAGAGCTATTATAAAAGGATTATATTTATTAATCAAATAAAATAAGTCTGATTTCTTGTTTGTTATGCTACGGCAGTTCCACTGAATTATTAGGACTTTGTAATCCATTGTGAGAAGTTAATAATTGAGAAAATACATTGTAAATGGCATCGTTGGACGGTGGTAAAGTTGTTTGTATCATTTTCGATTGCGATAACACTTTAATAAGCATGAGAATAATATCAAAGATGGATTGATTATTGTCAATATTATTTGATGATAATGCACAACCATTAGAGGGAGCAGGAATATTATATTCCTTAACTATGGCTTCATGGGCAGAACGATCATATCCTTGTTGTGCTTTTTGAGGAGAGCGTGGTTTAAGTGTAACTGTTTTTTTATGTGATGATTGAATATGTGGTAATGATGATTTCTCTTTGAGGAAAGAAGATTGAAAATGAGATTTATTGGACGGAGATGATGATGTTAATACATCTGAATATAGTTTAGAAGTGGGAGGATGAAATTTTGATGCTTCAGCATAAGAAACACAACTGTGGGCCATTGTTTCTTTAATGGCTTTCTGACGTGCATATTCAGGACATTTCTTACTAATTGCTGAATGAGAACCATTACACAAGATACAAGAAACATTTTCCTCATCTACTTCACATTTATCACCTGTATGATTTTGCCTGCATTTATAACACCGAGGATTTGAACGACACTGCATCTTGACATGTCCGAACCTACAGCAGTTATAGCATTGGATAGTGGGGTAAATGTACAAATCTACAGTTAATGATGTGTAAAACATAAATACTCTTTTTGGTAATATTTGTCCATCAAAAGTAATAACAATGGTTTCAGTATTAATAAAACTTGGTTGTCCTTCATTAATGGTCTTTTTCTTAATTCTTCTGGTTTTTAGAATTCTCCCACATCCTATAGGTACTGATATATTTTGGATTACTTCCTCTTCTGTCCAATCTTTAGGAATACCCCTCACAATTCCCATACGGGTTACATGGAAAGAAGGTATAAATGCCTTAAAATTATGTGTTTCTAAGTGACTATTATTTAAAAATGCATTTGCATTTTCAAAATTTGAGAAAGAAAGCGATAAACGGTTTCTTCCTATTCTTTTGAGGCTACCATTCACTATATTATTTATCTTATTAGTGTGTAAAAAGCGACCAAATGCAATAGGATGTAATGTAGTGTTATCATTAGGATGTGTTTCATTTTTTTGTACATGAACGACATAAGGAGCTACATCCTCGGCATTGTACAAAGTTCTGCTTAAAGTACTGGGTGGAGAAGCAGGTTTAACAGACTCGGTATTATTTACAACTGGTATTGATACTAGAGTTTGATTCTCATCCTCAATACATTGACAATCACTATCTTTAATTTTAGATTCGAGACCTTTGGTGTGCCTCCTTCGTTTTTTATTGCAATGTTTGCAAATGCGACGTTCGCCACGTACTCGCTTACGTTTAGAACTTGCAACGCTAGAACCATCTGTGTCCATACTAGATTCACCCAATATATCAAAACTATTATTAAATGGGATAGTTATATTTGCAGACACCTGGGGGTTGTCCCCCCAGGGTCTATAGGTGGATCCATAATGTCTAATTAATATAGGTAATTTACTTACCAATATTTACAGCAACAAACACTATTACTACAAAATATACAATTATATATACAATCTAATACACAATATATAAATAAAACTAATCCTTATATAATTAAAAATAAAATTAATTTAAAGAAGATCAAAAAACACTCCCGCTTTTTTAAACGTTTCCCGCGCTTTTTTTCAATTTAAATTCTAGTGATAAGTTTTGAGAATGGTGCCTTAGAATTGGTTCTAATGACAGTCAGTCATCAGTCAATAAGATAAAAAAGTTATCTATCTTATTTTGATACATAGACAACGTACAAAGTATAACGTACTTTTTTTGAATGGCTGATATAAGTAAATGGTATGAATGGTTGAATGGCGAAAGTTTGTAATGACGGATGGATGTTTGTTAATCTTTCATGCAAAAAGTATTGAAAGGATTTAATTGAAATTTGGTACACGTGTAGATAGTATCGTAGCATAATAATTTATGTATTGATTTACGTAGATGCGGCTACGGTATGCAGCTACTCGCTACTTTTAATTTATTTACTTATTTAATTATAAGTAAGGTAAGGATATATGTACCTTTTTATTTTTATGAATCTTAGAATGATAAACAAGCTGACAGTATACATGATTGAAAAGTGTACGGTAACTGTCGCCTATAACCATGAATTAGCATCATAGAAATTATAGGATACTCCGTGATACTCATGGTACTCCTCATATGATGGCAATCCTGAGGACTATGGTTAATTATGCCTACGTATTCCATATTTGTAATTTAATCCACTTTTTTTTCAAACCAAAATATCTACATTCAAGCACAGTTACTTTATGGCAAGGAGATGTTAGTCCCCGTTATTACCAATACACTGTTAGGTCCATAAACTTAATACAACATATTGCATATCTAAGGTCAGTTTAACCTCGCTGTTGTTTCCCTGGAAACTATCGTGGTCCATTTCTAGTGAAATCGCTACATTCAGCCCACTAACCTGATCTTGTTTTCATCGTGTCGTCTTCCACTGGTGCCCTGCTATTGTATAACGTACGCATAAGTGAGTATACTATAGCATCTCATTCCATCGAAAAAACACGAGTGGGGGAGAAGTATCTAGTAGATGGCATTTATAAGTGTGATTTTTCTACTGGTAGATTATGTAGTTACGGCCAAAGACAAAAAGAAAACGAGTATTATTTCTTTTTTTTTTCGAGATACTATAGTGTATAAAATACCACTATAGAATTAGCCGCGATGAGTTAATTGATCAAATTTATTCTATTTATTTTATCATTCACTGGTGTCTATCTTCTACATTCTACACTGTAAGCAGATTTACTATCCTATAATCAAAGTATCGAGGAAGGTATATACTTTTATGCATACGGTTCTCTCTGCCTGTCTTGCCCGACTTGCATAAATAGGTACATATTATTTATCATTAACCTAATTCCCGCTAAACAATGTCCGAAAGTTAAAGTAAGTACGCAATCTAACATTGTACCTATTTAATGACTGCGTAGCTGCCAAATATTGAAAATTATTGATTCATAGCTTGCCGCAACCAACTAGCCAAGTTCACTATTGCACCTATTCTTTCATAGTTGTCCGACGGTATAAAACCACAACATTTATTTCACTGACATCAGTGCTGCAGAGTCCTTACTGTAAACTACGCTGACACAAAATGGCATTCTTGTTTAAGGTAACTGTTATTGACTACCTACAAACTTTTCCGTTTTTATATACGGGTATAAATGAATAACAGAAATTTAATGAACTTAACGTTTTATATCGTTTTACATTACTGTTAACAGATCAATATCTATAGTGAACAAATTATGTGATTTGTGAAGTTAATACATTTGCAATTTTTAATCATTACTGATATTATAAATGTGAAAGTGAGTTTAATTGTTTGTTAACCTTATAGCGCGTTACTGGCTTAACCAATCACTATGAAATTTAGAATACACGTATTACATGGGGCGGAGAACGATATAGGCTGCTTTTTATATTGATCAATGAACAGACCCTGATCAAGGCGACGATCATCATCATCATTAGGCGGACGATGTTGCGGGTAAAAGCTAGTAGGTAATAAATTGAGAATTTTAATAAAGTTTAAGTAGTTCACATATTTTACTACGTATTTAATGTTTAAAGGATATATATTATTAATTACTCAGCATAATTTAAGGTTAATAATATCAACTTGTAATAATGTTTAAGAAATAACAAACATCAAATTGGTTCAGTACTGGAGACGTAATCGCGTAACATAATTACAAAAAATATACAGATAAATTGAGAACCCTAGTCAATAACTATAAAGAGTTTTGAACTTTCCAGCAGTTAAGCTAGTACGAATGCTAAAAATTTTTTGTTAATTGTCGATATATATATATATATATATATATATATATATATATATATATATTGTATATAAACAATAATACCCTTGCATAATAATAACCTTGCATAATTGAAACACGGAAACTATTACGCTGCGATGTAAGCATCGCACACACCCTAACGATCTCCGGGTAAATTCTAAACAATTTTTGGATGTAAGAAACATTTATTATATTTCCATTTTTTAATTATAGGTAAATATTATTGCAGATAATCAGATTAATGAAAGCAAAGGTCACTTCGCAAAAAATATCACTTAAATCAAATTAGTTATCCTCGATTAACTAGGTACTACTGTGAAACTTCAAACTTTCTTCGACTTTTCATTGCCAGGTTGAGTAACATCTTAATATTATCTGACCGTGAAGGCCGTTGCATTGTTACAGCGGCGCCTGCGCAGTACTAGTGAGATCATGATCTTCGGTAACGATTTAAACATTGAATCGTGCAGTTGCATGTTATAAGAGACATAATCATGGATAATGTCAATTTCTTCAATCAGGAAATGGAATTTATTTGACATATGATTTTATGTAATTGTTAAATGTTAATAAAACTACCTATATCTTGGTGCGCTTTCTCCTTCTGAGATATAACAGTGATCTATTTCTAATTTGATTTATTATTGAAGAAAAACCGTTTATATTTTCTTGTGGATTCATTTAGATACAAAGACAGGCAACATTTTTATTTTTTTATTAAATTTGTATAAAACGAATACAGGAATAAATTCTTTCAATTAAAACATCATCGTAATATAATATTATGTCTTAAAAAATCTCTTTTTATGTATGGAAACAAGACAATATTACAGTAAATCTTTGCGATTGTTTATAATTGATTTAATATCTCCGTCAAAACTAAACCTAAAGGCTTAGTTTTTTTAGAGTTATTAAGCAGCTTATATACATATAAAATCAGTCAAATTGAGAACTATCTTTTTTCTAAGCCTGTTGAAAATAAAAATAGATTAACAAACTTTTCAGTGTAATTTTTATTTCAGGTATTAACTCCCTTGGCTCTTGCTACAGTGGTATTATCAGGAAGGCCAGGTGGATATTCGTACAATCGATTCAGCGGACCAGTTAGTGGTCAGATAGTGGAAGTCCAAGTTCCGGCAGCTGAAGGTATACCCGCTCAACAACATGCTGACTATGGGTATGACCACAACACTGGCAAGATACACCCTGATACCGCCAAATATGCTCATTTAAAGACTGTAGACTATGTGGTATGTATAATTTTATTGTATATTTATTACATTATTCAATAGTATTTCAGATTTTTTTGCTACAGTAACAGAGAATGATTGTCTTGCTGATAGCATTAAGATAATTTAAAATTTTGCTTCACAAAAATACGACTTAATCTTGACAAAATTAAACCAAATATAAATGGGAGTAAACCGTAACTTCAGGACTATCTATATGAGAAGAGAATCAAAAGTGTTTCCAAAGAGACGAATATATAGCGTAACACATAATATATACAGATTAAATAATATTAATAATAATAATATATTATTTATTTCAAGCAACCTGTTGCTTATTGCTATTGCTAATTATTAGTGGACACAGAGACAGGTGCTTTAGCCCAAACAAACGCACACACACACACACACACACACACATCTATCTATCTATCCATTTAAGAGCTGCGCTCTTGTCGGTGGATGCTGAATTTAGAGACACTTTTTTCTGTGTCGGCTCCCTTTTAATGAGAATAGTACATTTCGTTGGAGATTTTAAAACAGTCATTAACACTCATGGTCATAATTTTATTCGGTACTTATAATTTTTTTTTGTATTGATTGATTTTTTTTTGGATTGATATTGATTCCAAGTCTTTTTATATTCTAACATTTAATATAATTTCCTTAAAATATTTTCTGAAGAATATTATTAATATATATTATAATAAATATAATTAAAATAAAAAAATATTAAACAACTATGGAAAGTCGTCATACAAAAACAACAATGTCTTCGATGGCGTTCACTTTATGTAGTAATGGGATCGATCCACATACAATAAAGTTTTTTGTAATATTTCTTTATCAGTTTTTTAGTTCCATAGTACAAGTTCTACTTAGTTTGACATTAGATATAAAAAATCATCTTTGTATAAAAATAGAGTTCTGTTTAAAGAACTTTGTTACTTTGTGTAACCAAAGGAATCATCAAGAATAAATAATATAATTACCATGGGATATAATATTTTTTAACAGGCCAAGCCTGACTACCAGTACGCTTATGGCGTAGAAGACCCTCACACAGGTAATCTGCAGAACCATAAGGAGCACCGTGATGGTGACGTGGTGCGTGGCGAATATTCCCTTGTTGAACCAGACGGTTCCATTCGCTTGGTGCGGTATACTGCTGATCCAAAGAATGGTTTTCAGGTACGCAATGTATAATATAATTATAACTGCCTTAAAATTATATAATTTTATAACTGCTGTTTCAATTAAGTTAATAACTGCCATTTTAAATGTATCATATTTTTGTTACTGAATTAGTATTGGAAAGATGTTTTTGACTGGGAGTGACTTTAAACCATCCTAGAGTAATATATAGGAATCAGATAGACGGTGTGTTATCTGATAGATAAGATTCTCCGAAACAGATGTATATGCGTGAAACGAATTAAGGAATTTGATGAAACGAGGGATGTATGTAAGGAAGTCTTTGGTACTCAGTTCCCTCTACCTACATCGCAAAAGATTTGGCGAGAAGATAGTTTAAAATAATGGCATTGTCACATCTGCACGATAAAAATCATAAACAAATATAATATTAAAAATGAAAATCTCTTCGTAATCTTATTTGTTTAAAATTTACAAGTACGGATATAAAAAGCTATTATTTTTTTTTCTGAAATCCACTTTTAATTTGTAATTAAATTATTGCTTATTCTAAAGGTTTATAAGTTTTTAAAGCAACAAATATGATCATAGATAATTGAGTCCGGGTCATTTATTAAACAACGTTTCATTTATTACATGCAATAATCTGTTACTTATTAGTAACAGTCTTGAGTATTTCTTTCGTTAATAAATAATATCAATATTGACATGTCAGTATGTAGCTTAATGTCTTTTAGTTTCAATATGTAGTAATAAAATCTGAATGAAATAGTTGATATCTAGTAATTGTTTGGTACATAATAAATTTCGATCTCTCAATTGAATAATTTATTGAAATATTAATAGGATTCTTTTTTTTTTTATGATTATGAGTACGGCTCCATAGAGTCTAGTCTTTTATGTAATGGATAAATTAAAAAGATTAATAAGTATACAATTATTCCTTATTTTTACAGGCTGTAGTGCACAAAAAAACTAATGGTCAAGCGCAGAGACCTGTACATTATGGTCATGCGAAAGAAGATGACGATGAGTCGAGAGAATCCTAGTCTAACAGACACAAATTGTTATCATAAGAATAAAAAGACTGGATGGAAGTGACACTGAGATAGCTTCCTTTCCTTTGGAAATGTGTTAATTACAACCAACGTATACTAATGTTCTTTCTAAATTAAATTACAATTTTACGATATAACGCGACATATGTGCAAGTGAGAGACGCATAGTCTCATTGGGATGTCTGCTGGGTGCAAGTCCTTAATGTTAGGACGCGAATTGGAAACGAGTCGTTAGTGTTTTAACGTAGTTATATTCGTATTGTTATTGGATTCATGGGAGTGTCACTTCCACCATGATGTTTGTTTTTATGTTGTTATATTAGGTTTATATGCTGTACTGTGTTGTTGATTATTTATTATAAGGTTAAGTACTCGTATATTTTTACAAGTCTTAATAATAAAAAATATTTTAAAAAACTATTGACTTTATTTATAATATCCAAGGAATTTAAAAAGCAAATGAACTAACGTTATGGCGTCGACATTATTTGAATATATTCTTTAAAGTTTCTGCAGAGAACGGTAACACAATAGTATGAGTTTGGTCTCCAGCAATCATATGAAGAGATTGTAAATAACGTAACTGAAAATAATTTAGGTACGTGTTAAAAAAATTCTGTTGAATAATATTATTACATACACTCACTTCACTGATAAAATTCTGTACAGATTTAATATTAGGTTCTCAACTAAGTAATGATTGATTAACTAAGAGGTGTGGTCTTCTAAATTCATACTTTATTTTTTATCTCAGTTTTCTTATTCGCACAATATTACAAAATAATTTCATCCTTGGACCTAAATGTTATATATGTATTACTTGATAGAAATTACCTGCATACACAGCGGGTTGTCCATTAGTAATTTTGTAGCTATTTGGAGATTTTTAGTAGACTCAATTTCTGCTTTTGCTACAATTATTTTTGCGTTCGCTAGTCGAGAGGACTCGGCTTCTGCTGCCATTGCTTTTTGTAATTGCAAAGGTAAGCTTATGTCTTTACTAATAATAGAAAATAAGGTTAATGGATCTAAAAAAATATTATATGTGAAGGAAGTACTTCTAAATGCTTATGATTATCATGTGACTTACATTTCTACTCTGACAACCTGAATACCCCATTCTCTGGTTATATTCTTCATTTGCTGGAATATTTGAAAGCTTACTGTCGGTCGATTTAAGAGCAATTCTGAGAGTTTTGTTGTTCCTAAAGCATTTCTGAGAGTAGTTGCGGCTAAATATTGTGTTGCCATCCTTAATGTAAAGAAGTTTGAGTTTTTATTAAAATAAGTACATGATCAAATTATCATCGAAGCACAGTAAAACTTACTTATAATCAGCGACATTTATTACTGCCCGCACTGGATTATAAATTTTATAATAAATAACTGCATCTACTGCTACGGTTAGAGAATCTTTCGTCAAAGCCTGTGAATTTTAATGGTGTAATTATAATGATGTGTAAAGGTAATAATATAGCTTAGAATGAATCCGAAATATTTCATTTTCAGTTTGAATAAGTACATACTTCTTGAGGAGGTACAGCGTAACAGATAATTCTGAGATCCGTAAATTTAATGGTATCAACACAGGGCAGGTAACAAATAAGCCCGGGACCAAATGCTCGATTTTTGTGTACCTTTCCATTACGAAGTATTATTGCTCGTTCGAATTGACGGACCGTCTGAAAAATATCAATTTGGAAATTATAAGACAACCGTAGTTACGACAAAGTTAAGCAATATAATATAGTTTACTGTTTTAATAAAAAGGACTCTACAAGACTAGGAAGCATATAAGATTATAAAAGTGCAGGAAGAGATGTATGTAAAGAATGGTTGAGATTTTTCTAATTTATTCTGTTAGAAGGGAGCAGTTTTAGCAGATAGATAACAGAAACTACACTTACCACGAACACACAAAGAAGAGAGAGCGGAAATGTAATAATTACCAATATAATTGACATGAATACTAGAACTTTTTCTATTAATTTATCATCTTCTGCAAGATATAATAATTATTAATGTATTATTATAAATGTTTATATATGTGCCTTTAAGTGTAGGTACTAGTAAGAATACAACATAGGTACCTTTGTGTTGCATACGTAACACTCTTCTATCTGAATAATCTATTGAGACACTACGTTCTTTTGTCGGATCTTCATCTTTGCTTTTTTCTGCATCTTTATTTATTTTATTATAGGATATATTATCTTGTGACGTATTAACACCAAAATTTAGATTGTTAGTCATAGTTATATTAAAAGAAAACCATTAATCCAAAAAAATATGTAAATTATTAGCGGTATGAAAGAAGTATAGATGTCAGAATGGAACCTATACACATTGACATTTTCTTTGAAACAACAATAAAGGTAAGTATAAAGTAGTTTCTAAATGTTATAGAAGATTTATGGTTTAGGAATCTCAATAGGAAATGGAAAAATTATAGACGTTGGCTGTTGAGATGCAATGAAATTCAGAGTTTGTAAATAACGTAACTGAAAAAAAAGATTAAAATAGTAAAAAAAAAAAACTTAAAATAACGATAACTAAAAAACGATAATAAAATATTTTGATAATGATATGAATAACAAAATGTATCTTAATAAATTATTATGACTAAATTATAACCAGTATAGTTTGAGGATTTTCCATCATTATTCTTGACGCCTCTCTAAGGTTTTCTGCTGTTTTTATTTCCCCTTCAGCTTCAATAATTTTTGCTTTTGCTAATCGCGTGCCTTCAGCTTCTGATGCCATCGCTTTTTGCAATTCGTATGGTAGTAGAATATTTTTTCTGTACAATAAATTATGAATTAACTCAGAATATATATTTGTAATAGTAATAACAAATAATATTTAAGAATTACATTTCAACTCTTTCTATTTCAATGCCCCATTCAATAGTCACTTTTTCTATTTCTTTCTTAGCTGTGCAACTAATAGCTCCCCTGTTTGTTAACAAGTCAGACAGTGTATATTGACCTAATATGTTTCTCAGTATAGCAACAGCTATTAATTCCGTGGCACGTCTGTAATTATTAAGGTCAGTATTAAAAGTATTTGTAATTTTTATGTTAAAGATAAAACAAAATTAATTTTCTCAGATTAAGTTTTACATAAACAAAGAAAATGGGTGTAAAATTTTCGTTTTTCTTGTACAAACCATATTTTAAAATAGTTGAATGCAGTACGTATTAGGTAATCAATAAATTCTTCAAATAGGCACTAGCTCTTACTAAAAAAACTATGATACCGTTCATTATACTGTTTATTCATATAGCTTATTAAAATTGACTAGAAATACTAAATGATTATTGTTTAAATGAACTTACCCATGTGACTGAACATTTAGAAAACAATTAAGAGGCTTTACAATATGGAAATAAACAACTGCATCGACTGAAACTGTTACGGAGTCTTTTGTAAGGACCTGTAGTAAAATGAATATAATAGTCATGCACATAATGTTTTGAACTTTAAATATCTTTAAAAATTTTATAAAATAATGGTACATTTGTATAAAATAAAAAAAAAAACGGGTATTTACATCACTGCAATGTATTCATCCTTATCGCTCTGAGGAAGACTTTCTGAAGAAGTTAAAAACCCTGCCAGTTATATGTATAAAAATGATCATGTATTAAAAATATAACGTTACCTCTTGTGGTGGTAAACTGAAAGATTGTGTTCTGAGATCTATCAGTATTACAGTATCAGTGCATGGTATAACCCAAATGATACCAGGTCCAGCTGGAGAATCAGCTCTCACTCTTCCAAATCTTAAAACAACTGCTCTTTTGTATTGCTTCACAACCTTGAGATTTCAATTTAAATTGTAATGAACGAATATAATTTTCTTAAATCACAATACTTGTCTACTTATATATATATATATATATATATATATATATATATATATATATATATATATATACATACATATAGAAGCATGATTTAATTATGTGTAGGGATTGAGGTTTTCGCAATTCTGTCGATGATAATAGGTATATTATATTTAAATATTTTATATACATTAAAGTTGTATGATATTTTAACAAGACGAATTTGAATAAGTGACAAATTTGTAATAAGAGTGAAAACGTAACTTTTAATTTTTTATCATTACTTTAAAGTTAATAAATATGTAGTTACTTGGTACATTAATATGAAGTTGTACAGTTACTTACTCGAAAGCACAGCACCAGCATAACAGGGAAAATAATTATCAACAATATAGCAATAAATCGAAAAAATTTCTCTTTTAAAGATTCTTTCTTTATATCTGTAAATATTAAAGTTTCCTTAAACTGTTTCTTCTACAAAGAAGTAATTTGTATTAAGTGTACAAGATTTCTCTGGAGATTACACATATATTTTCGAATATCCTTAAATTTTTTACCTGTAAGAATTAATGTTGAGGCCTGTTGCATTGTAAAAAATTTGACTTTTAAAAACAAAGAAAACACAAAATAAATAGTATAAATTTATATTTATATTGTAGTATAAATAAATTCTTGGTAATTTATTCAATGACTTCACGACTGATAATTAATTTTTATCATATCTGTCCCATTTTCTTTAAATGCAAGGCAATGGTCGTTTAATCGTACAGCCTAATAGTATTTTGAAGTAGTTACTGCTTTTATACAGATATTTCTACCATAGATTCATATGTTCTTTCCTTTTAACGTTTTATAACTTATAACGCTCAGGTTGTCTTCTACAAATTTTAATTATTATAAGAACTTATGTACTACTGTTATTATTACTCTAAGATTCAGTATTTGAATTTTATAACAGTTTGTCTCATTTTAAATTGACGGAAGTAATCGATCAAGTAATGGAATGATTGTCTATTTATAACAATATTTGGCAGACTTATAGATATGGTCTCAAGAACACTTTCGTCCTTTCATAGATGTAGTATAATCTACGGCATTCTATTTGGAGTTAGATTAAAGGTATAAATTAAGTTAACAATAGATGAAGGACAGTACCTGTAAGGTTAGTCCATAATCGAAGAGTTTTCGCCACTTGTTTAATTCAGTATCATAGATAAAGTGATGAAAGGTAGTGCCTACATAACTAGTTTGCTTTCTTTCTAATTCAGCATCTATTATTTGATACTAGATGGCGCTGTCCAGAAATGGTTATTTTAATTGTTTTATTTTTAATCATGTTATTAGATACTATATTATATTAAGTACAGCTACTATGTAAAATGTATTACAGTATAGTAAAATTCTTATTAACTTATTATTATTATAATGGCATCATTCACAAAAATTATATTGATCTTATACAGGCAAATGCGACATGCTCGGACCAGGCAAGAAAGTCTTGAGGAAATCCATGGGAAATGGAAATATTATTGTGGAATTCTTCTCTGCTGATATAGTATTGAGAGACTGTAGGTATCGTAACTGAAAATATAAAGTTTAAATATATAACATTAATAAATTTACCATCATTACCAATTAAGTAATTCGTTAGTCATATATGCAGACCACAGGAAATCATTCTGAGTCACATTTTATCCATTAACTTTTTGCCACATAATTTGAAATCGTTGCTTCATTTAGTGAGAGTAAGCTTGTACAGGGTTGTGACTCCAGACACTTTCTTCTAATAATATTAGTTAAATAAAAGTTTTACTTTACATCATTATTTCCGTAATAATAAACTGTAAGATTACGTAAGTAATAAACTTGAATTTAATCCGTTTTCTCGAAATTCACGAGCAAACGGAGGGACACAAAATATTTTGTAAATAATAAAATTATTCACTTATAAAATGGTAATGATAGTTAGATAAGGTTTGTTTACGGCCTAGAACTTTGAATTTTCAAATTCATAGTAATTGCCATTTATTTTATTATTCGAAATGCACGTAAAGTCATCGTCCGCTAAGCCATGTAGGTATTTTTTTTATCAATTGATTGCTTACCTGTAACGCCATAGGATTATCAATCATGACAAGAGAAGCTTCTTTTAAAGCTTTGGATGCTTTGATTTCTCCTTCAGCAGCAATTACTTTAGCTCGCGCCTCTCGATCGGCTTCGGCTTCGGCAGCCATAGCTCGTTGTAGTTGTACTGGTAAACGAACATCTTTACTGAAAATAATTACTTCATAATTACGATTAAGTGTTATGGTAGTACAGAATACCTACTCTCTACATTCGGCCTATTAGACAAATTTTTCGTTGTGTGTAGATAAGATGTTATTATTCATTTTGAAATATTTTCTAATATTTATCAAATAACACTAATGTTGTTATGACACGATATCGAGTTCAAAGTAGAATAAAACTTTGTGTATCTATGGATATTTAATTGTCTCCTAAACACAATTTATTTCATTAAGCTAGCATACTTATTTTCCGAGATTTATAGGTTTTTTTTAAGTGACTCGGATTCATTGCTCTCGAGTGTATATGTATGTATATTTTTTTTACTTTAAGTAAAATCTTACATTTCTACTCTTTCCACTTCTACGCCCCAAGGATCAGTAGCTTCGTCCAAATTGGCTTGCATCATGTGACTGATGGCTTCGCGGTCTGATAGAAGTTGGGCGAGGTCCCTCATACCCAAAACATTTCGGAGAGTAGTTGCTGCCAGTAGACGAGTAGATGCACTGGTTCGAATAAAAACATTATCCAGTTGGTAATCATTCTTTAAAGAATATCTATTTTTATCTTTTGTCACCGATGATAATATAATGCTAGTTTTAAATTACGCTCTGATGGCAAATTTCATCATAACTGATATCTTTATATACATGAAATGCGGCTTGTGTAAAAATGCAGTATCTTAAATAAACTCAATGATATGAAAAAAATTATTATCATGTATCACTTGTTGTTTTCTAAATAAGTTTAGTAATTACTGAGTTACTGTTGCAAATTCTATTTTGAAATTTAGCCTTTCTTTCAAACATACGTAAGTACGCAAAATCCCTACGGTAAAATGCTGCTTTTTTTTAAATTCTTTTTCCGATTATTATCGGGAATCCTATTAATACTCGTATTATAATTGTGAAAGTTTGTAAGAATAGATGGATGGAACGGATGAATAAAATAGATACTAATCAGATATACTTGCCTGTAATCGGCAACTCTAACAACAGCGTTCAACGGTTCTTTGATCCTGTAGTAGACCACAGCATCCACCGCTACTGTTACCGAGTCTCTTGTTAGTACCTGTAATAAATTGGTATATTGTGAAGTTTTTTTATTTATTATCATCATCATCATCATCATATCAGGCATTAATTGTTCACTGTTGAACATAGGCTTTCCCCTATTGGGGGGTTTTGCCAGTAGTTGCCACGCTAGGCAAACGTGTTGGCAACCGCAGTTAACCTTTATTACCTTTATTAGTGATGTTTAAAGACGGAAGCTGTTGCCTATCCCTCGGCCATTAAGTTCCCTTAGTTGCCTTTTACGACACCCACGGAAAAGAAAGGGATGGTTCGTTCTATACCGGGACTACACAGCGATCTTCTTCATTATAATCCATTAATATCCTACTGTTACAACATTAGTGCATGGGATTACTTTATGATATGAGAAATTTGCATGCGCATAGCTTTAATAGTTTTTTCTCATACTTTGTTCCACTTTATTTTATTTTTCTAGTCGGATCTTATGACATGTTTCGGATAAAAATGAGTGATGACATTTTGTATTATTACTTATATAATATACAGTAGTACCTCGACATACGAGTTGAATTCGTTCCGTAACCTTGCTCGTATGTCAAATTGCTCGGATCTCAAAGCAATTTTCCCCATTGATATTAATTATAATGCCATTAATTCGTGTTCCCATAAAACTACCTCGGTTGTTTTTGTTAAATGTTAGTCTAAGGTGTAAGAAACTGCATGTTGGGGTCTTGATGGGTAATGATCCTTGATGGTCCTGCGCTAACGGGATACGCTGGCGGAGCACCAATGAAGGGTGATAGATGAGAATGAAAACAGGCCAGTTAGCCCATCATGATGAATTCATCAGGAATTAACCATGATAGTTTCCAGGGAGAACCGCGAGGAAGTCGACCTGGTTGGGTATATTGCTAGCAATGGGATTCTCAGTCTCCATTACTAACAATCCCTTTCCCCCCTGCATGTTAGGGTCATGAGCAGCAGTGTAGTGTGCGATTCCACGTATCTCAAATCTTGCTCTCATCTCAAAGCAAAATATCGCTCGCTCGGCGGCTCGTATCTCAAAACATTCGTACATTAGGGCATTCGTATATCGAGGTACCTACTACTGTATACTTTGATTATTAATACTAATACCTCACGAATGACAATGAAACTCAAATATAACCATCATTTGACTATATTATTAAATAAAAAAATCCACTTACCAAGTGATGCCTCCCTAAATATTTGTTGGACCGATTTTGACTCTTTGAATATCTAACATAATATAATGATAAATATTGTGTAATAGTTTCTATATAATTGTTGTATACGATTAGGCCAGGGTGTCCGTGTATATTTAATATACGAGGTTTGTCCGAAAGTACGTATAAAAGTTTTTTAAAAATTTTATTTTACAATTATTCAGGTAAATATTTTATCCCCTAAAGTACTCCCCCTGTGACATAATGCACTTGTGCCAACGCCGTTTCCACTGTGAGAAGGCTCCTTGAAAGTCCTCTGGTTGTATTTCTCAGCTGCCCCGTCGTAGCTTTTTTTATCTCAGTTATGTCCCCCAAATGCCGCCCCCGAAGTACCAATTTGGTTTTTGGGAACAAGAAGAAGTCACACGGGGCCAAATCCGGCGATGGAATTTTTACTCAAAAACTCACGGACAACAAGAGAGGTGTGGGCAGGGGCATTGTCGTGGTGAAGAATCCAACGCCCCTCTCGCGCCAATTCTGGACGAACTCGTGCCACACGAGCTTTGAGGCGTCTGAGCACATCGACGTTTTTCCATCAACTGTCTGGCCTGGAGGGACGAATTCTTGATGGACAATCCCCCGAACATCGAAAAAAACAATCATTGTCTCGGCCCTCTCTGAATCTTTTTAGCCATTGTGGACGGTAATCATCCCCATAAACTGTTCTGAGATCGGCAAAAATTTCACGGCCATAGTTTCGAGAGAAACTATTATAACGGAAGCGGGCTCCATGCCGACGGGGTTTCGTTAAGAGGTAACTTCACAGATGGCGTGACAAGCCAGTTCGCACCGCACGGCGGTCAGACCAGAACTGAAGCATTGTTAGGGACATAAGGAAGGGGTCCTGCGCTTATATTCTTTCTCGCATTCCATATACGAACTTTCCGGACAGACCTTATGATTAGTAGTTAGCTAATAAAGAAATCATCTAACAATTTAGACATGGAGCTAAATAAAGGAACTTCATTTCTACAGTTGTTTACGGATTAGGGCGTCAGGCGAGTTGGCGCAAACCACGTTTCTACAATCAGGTCAGTTCTGTTGAGTTTCTCGGTCGCACCGTGCCGGGAACATTCGACTAGTCAAAATAAACAAGCTTTCGCCAATGATTATGTTATTCATCATAGTATTTGATTTACACAAATACGTTCAATTTTATTATTTTAATATTAATCAATTCTCAAACGTAATTAATTAACGTCACTGTTTTGTTTTAATTCAACATTTGTTAACAAAATGTTAATGTGAATTTCTGTTGTGTTTTTACATAGACTATTAATCTTTATGCCTATGAGTTACAAAGTAATTTATAATCTGCACTACTACAGATAACCATGAAGTTATTTTCTAACTAGGCAGTATTCTATTTTTTTCTTGCAACCTTTACAACACTTTCATAGTTAACATCGGTAATTTTACAGGTATTATGGATGAGTTATGATATAATCATTAGTTATCAGTTATCAGGAAGTAATGTGGTAATTAAGCCCAGTTAATTTTGTTACCACTGTGAGTTATGTTATTTTGTAATAAATAGATACTTTCCTTTTTATTTAGAAATTCTTTCAGTACTTTTCATTTAATGTTATGTGTTATTTTGGCTTTATGATTATAAAAGATTTAAGACCAAGTCATTTATGAGGATAGTACTTTATTTATTTATTTAACTCTTTATTGCACCAAAAATATAATAGAGGAATAACACCTAAGTCCTCAGGAATGGCAACGCATGGGGGTATCATGGGCGAAACAGTATATTCTGTTATGTCCATGGTACTGCTCATGTCTATAGGCGACGGTTACCACTTTCCATCAGGTGGGCCGTCAGCTTGTTTGCCATTCTAAGTTGTATAAAAAAACATAAAAAATAACAATGATATATAAACAATTCGGCTGAAATACAGTAGCATGAAGTACAGACTAAAATATACATATAAAGGTACAAAAGGCGGTCTTTTCGCTAGGGCAATATCTTACAGACAACCTTTGGTTGAGGAAAAGCATATAGAAGTGCGTAGGTGGCACAAGAGTGAATTAATATTTTTTACATATTATGTATTATACGTAAAAAATATAAACATGAAATACATATAATTTATTAGACTATTTATTATAACAATTAATACATACTACATATACATACACATATAAATATATACATATAGTACACACTAGGAAATATGACGAGTCTAGTAAAATGAAAAACGAAATAAAATAAGAAAGAAAAAGAATAATTACAATGAAAGAAAATAGGATTTGACTCGTCCTTTAAACGAAGCTAAGGACTGGGCGTTCCGTATAGAGGACGATAGCAACTTCCATAGGCGCACAACCTGAACGGAGAAGGATTTGGTGTAATAGTAATGTATCCTTAAAACTTTATTTTATATTACTATCGCCAGCATTGCAAAATAACCTTGTTGTTTGATTGATTCCTTTGAGTACTTGAGGTCCCATGTTCAATATTCGAGCCTACCAATACAGAAAACGTATGTTTTTAAATTGGTTATAGTCTGTGCATTCTGGGTTATAGTTTCAGTTGTTCGTTATTCGGTTTCTCATTACAAGATTCCTAAGTTTAATTAGGAAATTTGTTTGTTTGTGTTCTTCCTTCCCTGTGGGTGTTGTAAGAGGCGATTAAGGGATCTTAATGGTTGAGAAACGGGTAACAGCGTCCTTCCTAAAACACCTCTAAAGCCTAACTTTTTGGGGAGGCCTGTGTTCAGCAGGGGACAGTAGACAGCTGATATGATATAATGATATTATTAATATTCATGTTATTAGTATTAAGTATTATAAGTTTTAATCTGTAGGTGTAACATGTTAATAAATCTACAAACATTTTAACAAGAGTGTCTTTATAACAAATTTTGTTATAAACAAAAGTGACCACTACAAAGGTTTTTACAAAATTTTCGATGAACAAGTTTGAGCAGGCGAAGATACAGGGAATAACTAGTATAGTGCACAATAGAAATACGAGTTCTGGATTCTGATGAGACCTAGATATTTGTGTAGACAATCATCAACGAGAAATGTTACAATTCTAGATACAGAAATATTTATAGACATGTTGCTTGGTCAGTAAGCTTCCAGACAAATTGCGCACCTATAGTTTACGATTGTAGAACATGTCGTTAAACTTTGATTGATAGGTTTATAGCCACATCAATTAATACCAGACGGTCTGAATGGTGTGAACAGGGTTACCAATTTAAAAATATAATTATAAAATCCCTTGCAAGATAATTGATATTATTATACTTATAATATTTTTATCTTGATAAATGTAGTAACAAGAAAATTAATAATATGAGTAATTTTTATATTAAGTAAAAGGATTAAAAAATAAAGGTATTGGAGGATACTTGCTCTCTTCTTAATTTTTAAAAATTTAAGTTTCAGGGATGTTTCCTCCCACAAACACTCAGGTTGTGGAATGAGCTCCCTGCCGATGTTTTCCCAAGAGACTACAGCATGAGGTTCTTCAAAAGGGGAGTAAAGAGGTTTCTTCAGAGTCGGCAACGAACGCGTAATACCTCTGGTGTTGCAGGTGTTCATAGGTTACGGTAACCACTTACCATCAGGTGGGCCGTATGCTTGTTTGCCACCACAGTGGTATAAAAAAAAATTTAAATGGTTAGGTACTCGGTGTCCATTCTATAAGTAATAGGATTATGATATTATTATATAATTCATGAATGTAGAAATAAATCTCGTTGATTAATATTACTTACCCTTTGAAAACATTATACCTAATTATTAGTTTTTCTCGTCTCTCCTTTTGGTTTCGACTCTTTACCTAGTTACGCCGTCAAACTTAAATATTATTATATTTCAAATAGAAAACAATTAATTTAATAAGCATTTAGTGTCATGTTTGCTACGCATGTTAAACACATCCAAAAGTTCAATGTATATATACATTTTTTATACGCCCCTGCGGAGGTCCTGCTTACGGTCGAGGAAAAAAGACAAATTATAAGAACTATTAAGGTTAGAAGGTGAAAAATGTTAGGACACTTGATACGATACGACGAACTTATGAACATTATAATATAAAATAAAATAGAAGGAAGGAGGGGAAGAGGGAGACTAAGGCATAGTTACATCAGGCAGATCAAGGAAAAAGTTGGTGTCGTATCGTAATCAAGAGGTGAAGAGATTCGCAGAAAATCGTAGTGAGTCCCAAGAGCTTCACCGATAAGAGCGCAGGTCTTAAATAAGATAGATCGATATGTCCCTGATCCGTCAGGTAGTTAGCTACAATTACAGTTAGTTACAATTAAAATAAAATAATCACATCAAATAAGTATAGTAACATAAGGTGGAGTAGATATCTAATATATGTATAAGAAAATCTTTACATAATCTAAACATTTTATATTTTTTTTCTAATCAAATCTACACCATATTTTTATGGGAACTGATTATTCTAACCCATAATACAGAAGGTATTTAGGAGAGACAAAAGTAAAAAAAATATTGATTTTGGTATAGTTGACGACCGTGATATAAAATAGAAATATTTTTTGTAATTTAAAATTAAAATGAATATTGGTAGAAATGTTCAGTTGGCAATCCTAGCGATCAGCAATTGGGTTAACTGTTTTCAATAGCAATGCCATTACGGAGCCATCGCGGTGTTTGTGCAAGACACGTGGTATACAGACGATTCCGTTGTTTACGTATATTTGTTAATATAGTACTATTAGACTTATGGCGAGGGTAAATAACTATTCTAAAAATTTTATATTAATTTATTTTTGTGTTATTGATTTATGTTATTACTTATGTGATAATTTAATTGTCACAGTATTATTTTCATTTGAAGTTCAACGATGGTATTCACAGAGTCGCTGTGTAGCTCTGGGCATAGAATAGGCCACCCCTTCCTTTTCCGTGGGTGTCGTAAGAGACGACTAACAGAATTTATTGGTAATGGGATGAGCACCAGCGTTTCTTTTAAAATATCACTGAAAGACTAACAGCGGCCGCCAACTCGCGTTGTTAGCGTGGTAACTACTAGCAAAACTCTCCTTCTGTGGAAGACTTATGTTCAGTGGACAATTAACGGCTGATATGATGACGAATATGATTCACAGAGTACCTCTTCATTATTATTCTGTCAGAAGGTTTCGGGTATGAATGTTGGATAGGTAGGTGTAAGTAGTATAAATGTAATAAATCAGTAATGTTCACTATAAGATAAAGATTTTCCTTACCTTGAAAATACAAATATTTCACCCTGAGTTTAAAGACAGTGAAATTTTTGTTATATTGAGAAAAAATGCCCAAGTAGTAGTCTTACGTTAACTTTTTAGAAATTTGTTGTATAATATATTATGTTAATTCATGTTAAACAGAACATTAACAAATTACCTCTTGTGGAGGGACATCGAATGATACTGTTCTGAGATCAACTTTTCTGTAAGTGTCAATACAAGGTAGAACAAAGAACAATCCAGGCCCTCTTGCGCCGCCTTTTCTTAGTCTTCCAAGTCGAAAAATCACAGCTCGTTCGAATTCTTGCACTACCTGAGAGATAAAAAAATCTATGTACCTTAAAGTTTAATAACATTATTTAAGACTAATTGTAGGTGTTAATTTGCTCGTATAAGTTAAAATAATTATATACTATGTCTAAATGTTTATGGTCTATCTATTTATTAAACATTATTCAATTATTTTATACATATGTACATATCGGGCACGCCTGTCTTCCATTAGGGTAGGCAGAAACAATGAAATAGTATGTATGTTTTGTATAGACGTTCAAGCGTGGGTAGGTAATAAACATATTTGTTTTGCAAAAAAAAACTTCAATCTTAGCAAGTTAGTGTCATCATCATTATCTTTTCAGCCATTATCCGTCTACTGCTGGACGTAGACCTCTCCATAGACTGTCATAAAGAACGGTTCTGAGCCGAGAGAGAGTTGATTTCCTGCTATGTATTTGAGCAAGTTAGTATAAAAAGTCATATTTTTTTTGTCGTTTTTTTCATATATCTAAATAAATACATACAGATAAATACTCAATTTCATTAATAGAACTTTATCTTAAAAAGATGTTAATGTTTGCGATTTCTATATTTAAAAGCAATAATTTAAGGTAGATATTAAATTTTATACTTTGCCAACCTGCCTACCAAACGTGGCTACTATTGCGCCCTCCCTACTTACAGGGGAGGTCTATGTTCAGCAGTGGAGAGTTTAACGGTTGATATAAATGTATGAATGAATTTAACTTTAAATAAATTTAACTAGCTCTGAATATATTTAAAATATGGTTTGTCAAAATCGGAATTGGGATAACTTTACCTTGAAACATTCGAAGAGAGAGAATGGGAATGTGATGATAACCAGGAGAAATGACAAAAAAGTAGCAAATCTCTCTACGCAACCCACTGCCTCTGGATTTGCTGGTGAACAAAAAAATATTTTCATTTTTTTTTAAGATATTCCAGTAATGTGAAATGTATTAATTATCCTATTTGATTACATTTTAGTTATTGTAAAATCGCACGTTACCTACTCTACGAGGTAAATATGGATTTATTAGAGTAACGTTTTGCAGATCTAAATAAAAGAAGTTAGAGTCGAACACAGGATTCAGCCAGATTTTTTTTTGTCCGTAAATTACGTGCATAAAATAAAGCATAATATATGGATTGCACTTTATTTTATGCTATGTACTTACGCATTTGTATTGTGATAGCGCAAGACGTACCCGTATCGCAATCTAAAATGTTTAAAGAACACAAATTAGGAACTTCTACTAAATATGGCTTATTTATATGATCTTAACGGATCGAGTTTCTCATCTACTCACAACTAGGTACGTTGTCACGTCTAGTATTTATCCGTCTTACTTCTGTACGCATTTTTACTATGTATCGTAATGCACGTTCTTGTTATTTTGAATAATGCAATGGTCAATGTTCATAACGTCGATTAACGCGACGAACAATCACAGACTGAAGAACGTACGGTCCACCTAGCTGTCAGAAGAGCCCAACTGTTTACACGACCCAAAAACAACACCGATTCCAATTAAATTACAATGCGTTCCACAACAATGCGTTACAGATCACCGTTTTAATAGCCTTTAGCAAAAAGTATTTACGTATTTCTAGGTAGCACTCCACTTCGCCTGAATCCTTGTCGTAGCAACCGAACTCCATGGGTATTAACCCTCCTAATGTGTAACACGTGGACTTAATGTCATTCAACATTAATGTGATGTCTTCTCGATGTCTATATCGGTACTAAGGTGAGATGCTGTGGAGTCAGGTTGTTGGTAAAAATAAATAAATAACGCACTTTCAACCATACCGGCGGGTGAACGCGGGCGCACACTGGGCCGCGGTGCTCCAAATTGTGGCTTTTAGGTATTTCAGATGCGGCTATAATCCATCATCGTGTGTTCTTTTACAGGATGTTTAGACAATAAGCGCTTCGTAACTTATTTTTTGAGCCATTATCTGATTTAGATCTAATGAGGTTATTACACTAACTCATAAGATAACCTCTAATCATATTTATATTAGAAGTTTTTCATAATTTATCAGTTATGAAAAGAGTCATCATATATTTCCAATTTCATTAACATATATTCATTATATAACATATTATGACATACAATTCCATAGCTAAAATAATTTAATAATTCATTATTATCCTTCTTTAATGAGGATAGATCTGTGGTATAAATAAATGAAGAATACATACTTCTTTTCTTTTTTCTACATACATACATGCTTGAGAAAACTTAACTATTGGTAAATATAAAAAGGGATAAATACCCTGTCAGAAGTCATTCTGGTCAATTTCTGGTAAATTCCAATTAACTTGATATCACTACCCGGGAGCGTAAAACAATATAGTACGGAATTACTATTTCAATTTCATACATTAAAAAGCTACTACTAGGCGTAATTTATGTGTAAAGTTAATAGACAAATAGACTATAGTTTATGTCCAAAAGCAAATTATGAATGAACATATAATTCGTTATTAGGTTGAGATGTTTTGACGTCTAAATGATATATTTTTATAGCAGTCATAAAATAAGAAGCACGAAATAAATGTTAGGATTTACTGTTTTCTTTGAATCTCTTATAACTCTTTAATGAGAACGCATGTCTGATCTTGAAATATAACAACTGTTTAATAAATAAAAAGCTACAATGAATCGTTTTATACAGACGCTCTATTTTATTTGTGAATGATAAATAGAAATAATAAATGAGACATCAGCCGGGAATGAGTGTTTCGGATATATTTACAACATACTAGTTAATAAAAAATACGAATATAATTTATATAGTAGTTCATATTATTAAGAGATAGTTTTTAGTCGAATTAATTTTTAGTCAGTAAGCTCTAAAAACCTAGAATGGATATTAAAAATTGTAAAGGAATTAAGGAATGAGAAAACTATGATTTTGACAAAAATATATTAACTATAATATATTATTAATACTAGCTCTATCCCGCGGCTTCGCCAGCATCAATTTATATATAAAGTATTCTATGTACTAAGTTAGGATATAATCTAGTTCGTTCAGTAGTTTTTTCATGAAAGAGAAATATCTATCTATCCATAAATAATTACAAACTTTCGCATTTATATTATTAATAGGATTATAAAGAGAAAAGGAGGATTGTTTCTTTGTAATGGATAAACTCAAAAATTACATTAGTTACATAGTTTACATAGTAACATTATCAGCGAGGCAGGCAGGCACCTGGATCGCTAGTTTTTAATAAAGGAATAAAAAATGAAATTATTAATAGAATTTGGTTCCAATTTCCAATTTGGGTCGATGTTCGATATCCAACACACGTAATTTGTTTTAATATTAGTACAACGTCTATGTTGTTTATAACGCGATATTCCCATGCGGCTTTTACCAATTTATTGAAAAATGATCAAAGCTGATGCTGGTGTTAAAAATAGTGTGCAGTGATAAAAATAGTGTGACCAAATTCCAGTTATTTCGTTCGCATACGTCTTTTTTCCTTCAATCAACAGACTTTCCAGATTTTGTCTATATCCATGCGAGATTGAAAACTTGAAAAAGATTTCATAATTTTCATTTTAGACTTTTATTGGTATTAAATATGTTTATATTGTTAATATTTATCTTCATTTCATGTTATTTACAGGATAGGCAGAGAAAGTCGTTTGCTTGGGTACCTCTGTCTCAGTCGTGTTTCTACTGTGAAGCAGGCCTGGTAGATATATATGTATGTACAAAACTATTAAATAATATTTAATAAACAGTTAGGGCATAAACATTTAGGCATAGGGTATAATTATTTTAACTTATACGAGCAATTTACCAGAGGGAGACTTTGTACAAAAGTCGTTTACTTGGGCAGCTCTGTCCCATTCGTGTTTCAACCATGAAGCAGTTGTGTTTGCATGGCTGTGTTTCAATATGAAGGGCAGGATATGGCAGTGAATTTACAGTGTACAGAGGAATAACACCTGAGTCCTCAGGATTGGCAACGCATGGGGATTTCATGGACGAAACAGTATATTCTGTTATGTCCATGGTACTGCTCATGTCTATAGGCGACGGTCACTACTTTCCATCAGATGGGCTGTCAGCTTGTCTGTCATTCTAAGTTAAATAAAAAAAAACTTTTTTGCTTTATTCACTTTCATTCACGTCTTCCAAGTAAAGATATTGGCTTGTTGGATTGGGTTGGATTGTTAGTTAGACCTGTCAGATCATCACGGTTAAATATCTTTCGTCAGCGTACGAGTATGTCATACTAGATAGTCAATCGGTTTTAATAGAGTTATGTTCTGAACAGCTGAAATGCCTTTGCTGTCAAACTATATAAAACCATCCATGCGGGTCACTTAAGGGGGATACTTATATCATTTATCTGGTTGCGAGCATACGTGGGGATCGCGTAGCTCGTGCTGCGGTAGTCTCACGTATGTCACTAGCCTTCGCTGGATTTACCTTCAGGTGGGTTCTATATCATTTTCAAGAGGAGTGCAAAGCCAAATTATCTACAGACTACGATAAGCTGATTTGGGCGTTAGAATCATTCTTTCCTGACTTCTATTCTACATAATCTTTTAACGGACATGCCTTAATAAGGCATATCTGTGTCGATTTAATATAATCGGGTATGACAAATGTCCATGTGACAATGACACTCCTGAAATAATAGAGCATCTAATTAAAAATTGCAGCAGATTCAGCTACATCAGATTGAATCATAAGGTGGATTGTCAGATGGTTTAATTCGAAACGCCTTTTGAGTTGGAAAATATAGACATCAAAACGGACACCGATTTATATATCATAAAAATCCACTTTTATGTATGTTGTATGTATATATGATTTCTTTTAATTTTTAAGCGATGTATCTAAAGCGTTTAAAATGCAAAATAAAGTGTATAAATAAAAAAAAAAACTTTTATTCTGAATGGTTTCGTAAAATTTTTAAGTGAGTTAATTTATTTAAATTACAAAAATATAAACGAAAAAAATCTACTCTTACTCTGAATGGTTTCGTAAAATTTCTAAGTAATCTATCTTATTTATTGGAAATGGAAGAAATATAAATTTTATCAAATTAGATTTTATAATAACATATTGAGAACAACAAAACTGTGTTCCTAAAATCTTGCTTATGGCATGTTTAGTGTGAAACGAAAAATTCAGCCAGACAATTATTTGCTGTAAACAATGCATTTTAGGAAATGTAAGCGACTCTGTATGCAAATAAGTACAAAACAAGTACCTGTATCTGATATGTCGTAACACGAGGCAGGATATATGGGACCCATGGAAGTGGTATGACAAAAGCATTGTATTCTTTTCACATCCATTGTGAACGTGCAAATATATTTTTGATCACACGGTTTTATATGTCGGAAGATGAGGATAATGGTCGTGTTTGACTATATCTTTGACAATTACAATAGAATGTATCTATCAACCTACTTGTAAATTAACGCTGTATTAGAACATGAAAATTGAAAATATGTACTAGGCTTATTTTTAAATACCAAATAAATATATATAACAAAAAAATAACAGAAAAAAATAAACACAACAAACAGATATTTTAAATTTATTTTAAGGCTTTCTAAATTAAATATTAAATGTTTAAATAGATCCTGTCACAAAGTCTGTGAATCATTAGACTATGTTGGTAAATTTGTGGTTAGATTACTATATTATTATGCTACAGTAATTTATATACTTAATTTTGATATTAAAACATTAGGTATAAAATTTTACATATAGTTAAGTTGACTAACTAACGCTGAATTTTCTATCCTCAACATATTAGGTAGGTGTTTATTAATAGATGAAAATTAAATGCTAGCCCTACCTATGATATTAACACAGTATAAGTAATAGTACTAAATATATTTTTTAAGATTATTAGTTAACGCTGGCGGGCAACCAGTGAAACATGTAGACGAAGAGGATACTCCCATCAATCGTGATGAACTCACCTCACTCACATTGGAGTTTTCCAGGAAGATCCCGTACAGATTAACTCTCGGTAAGAGAAATATATTATTTGCATAATGGAATTAGAATACTTGAATTACATATTCGAATTACATCAACAGTCCCACTGTAGTCGTATCGAAGTTTATATACAGTATTGTTACTTTATCCATGCTTCTATGCTTATAGCATATGGCAATGAGCTGGTAATGAGGTACACTACATCATTATCAGAAAACCGGTCGAGTGGTGGGATGTATATTTGAACTTACGATGGTTGACAGGATGCGACCTGATCTTTTAAACCGGTGTGCAGCCTCTCACTCGTTTTACCGCTCTAAGTCACTATTTTGACCTTTACAGATGTCCCCGGTAAATTAAGCCCTTTGAAGTAACTTCGAAATTTAACAGATGAATACGTAAATTAATAATAATAGTGGAAGGACATTTCACTAATAACTTTAATAGTAACCATAATTTTTCATTTAGTGTAGAAACTTTAGAAGAAAATTTTTGTATGAAAATTTCTTGAATCATTCTTGAAACATCAATACTATATTGATAAAAAAATATAATACCAATTATCAATATTATAAAATGAATAGCGAATTATTAATACCTAGTATTCTATGAAACAAGATTTATTAAAACTAATTCTTATTTAGCCAGAAAAGGCTGTTGGTTCCCATAAAAATATATATAAGGGCAATAAGACAAACTAAAGTTAATTCTATTGGAAAATATATAGTTTTTTTTTACCAAAATGGTGAATAGCTTAGATTTTATGAGCGTTATTGCTGAGTTATGAGTCTATGGAATTTGTTTAGTTTGTTCTAAGAAATCACATACTCTACTTGTATATAGTTGAATTTATTTTCTAAAAACTATGTATGTAACCACTTTTTACTTACACTATTTCGTCAAGTTCGGCAAAATAGAGTCACAATCCAAGCCTCCATGTATTGTGCAAGTTTCGTTAATCGTAAATTATTTTCCAAATTAAAATGTCAAACTTGTAAAATGTCTATTCTAATATCACGTATAAATAAAATGCATGATTGTATAAGTGCTAGAGAAAGAAAACAAAAAAAAAAAATATATAGAAACGTATTGTATCGACACTTTCAATATTGCTCTCTCTTTCGATTAATAATTATTTTCGAATAATTCATTAATTTCGTTTAATCAAAGTTATTAATGATAATTTTGAGAAATTTCCTCAAAATTCGGATTTAATGAAATCAATTGACATTTCTTTCAGCAAAATTGCTGTTAACATCATCAGAAACTATTAGGTCGATTTTCTGTTTGTTTTTATTGACATTATTGTTTGTATTTATTTACGGAAAAATTATCTCAAGCAATATAAGTAAATTTCATAAGTTGCCTTGCTTTTAGTAGTCGATTATGTAGTCTAGTTATGTTTAATGTTATAAAGTTATTATCTAATAAATTGTTGCTTCTTACTTGAATGTCATTATTGTTGTATAATATTGAAAAGATTTATAGATTCCTGCGGCGGCGATATGATTAATTAGAATAACGATATATATATATTTACATAGTATAGAAACAACCTTTTAAAGTTAGTTAAAAGATGAGGTTTTCATATCCACAGTATTTGTTTGTGTATTAAACATCTTCGTAAATCCGATGGTGAATCTGCAATTTATAGGTATCAACTATTTTGTTATATAACGCAGACTAAATATAATATCAAAGGGAGACTTTGTACAAAAATCGTTTGCTTGAACACCTCTGTCCCATTCGATTTCTACCGCAAAGCATATTGTTAAAAATATGTAAGAACTTTAAATAGTAATGATGGAAAGTTCAATAATATTTCAATTTCATAAACATTATATCAAAATAATAAATCTTTAAAAAAAAACAGCTTTTTGGTGAAATGAAATGCACAATTGATTGACGACTAAAATGAATGATGATTGAATATAATCTACGGAGATATTTGAATCACTATCTCTAGTATTAAATTTTGCTTTTTTAATAAAATCAGATTTATCCTATACATTATCGTTAGGTTTAGTTTAAACCTCGACTTAGTCCAGCTTTGGTCTGGGTATTACCGATATTCAGATTCAGATCTTTCAATCTTATTATAATAATTTGATCAAGATGGAAGTCGATTTTTTTGATTCACAAAAACAACTGAACGGATTTGAATAAAATTTGGTGTGTTATATCCTAAGACTATACTCTAATTTAGCATATAGGATAGATTTTGTAGTGATTCATGCGGACAAAGTCGCGGGACACAACTAGTTATTTTTAAAAACGGTTTTATAATATTGTGAACTTTGATAATAATGTATATTTTTACGATGATATGATGAGCTTTTTAGTACATAGATCATAATATCCTCCGTTATGTATTCACTGCCAAATATAGTCCTCCCCTATAGACTGTCGTAAGGAACGGTCCCGAACCACCTGCATTCACTGACTTGATTGAAATGGTCTAGTTTCGAATAGTTTCGAAATGAATACCTACCTGTCGAGATGTAGATCATTTATTGGCTGCATTCTGCAATAAGTAGGTTTAAAATATCGATTAAAATTGTGTCTCTTATAGCATAGGACACCTAATTAATACAGTACAAGTATTTGAACTCATTACAGAATAATTCCAACTGCATTCCATAATTAAATGTATTTCTCTTACTAATTAAATTTAAAAAAGATGTTTTTCTAAGTATTCTTTGTTTGTTCAGTACAGTCTTTGTAGTACAAGATCTCATTATGCAATAATAACATAATATCATTTGCATTTATTTATTTTAATCGGAATAGTATAAAAGTAGCTTTATTGTTATATAAAAAATGTGAATTAAATTATATTTTTCAATATCATTTTGTACAATATACATGTAGTATGTATTAATAAATATATATAGGAAAAGGAGCTTATATCGCCTGCAAACGTCTTTTAAAATCTGTAATCTTGCTTCTTGAAAATAAAAACATTTTTACATTATTAACGTTGGCAATTAAGAAGCAGGTGTGTATGAAAGTATACATAAATATATTTTTTTCATTATTTACGTCGACAATAAAAAAGCAGGTACGTAGGTACTATTTACCTGAAAAGGTTTTTTATCGGGTTAAGCCCCGATTGTGTATTTAAAATATGTGTAAAAATCGTGAAAGTTTAAAATTAACTAAGTATATTTTTATTAAAAAGGCTTAACAAATTATTAAATAACTAACTTCCAGGCTATATAAATTTTCGAGACTACAACAAATATAAGTAGAAAATATTTTATATTTATTTATTATTGAATGAATCCGAATATTAAATAAAATAAAATGCATTCTTAGAATTATTTGTCGTATTGTGTTATCATTAGTCTTATTATATTATCGTCGTTTTTTGAACATAGAGTTTGTTTATAAATTGCTTTAAAGAATAGTCATATTCTACTACTACAACTTCATAGTACGTATATGGGAATGTTCCGTTTCACACCTAAATTGCGATGAAAAGTTATAGATAAAATCAATTATTAGTCTTTTATATATTTTGCCAGAACATTATACAGTTTTATAAATATTCTAAGAATTACGAACAACTTTTTATAGGTGTTAGATACTTCTAAGAAAATTTTATATTCAAGTGTCTCAAGAATGTTTGGTGATGGCGTACATGGACGTCTGAGACGATGAAAGTCAATAAAAAGGAGATACATGTAAGATATTTAAAAATGAGATTTTTTGCCTATCCTATATAAGGACTTGGTTTGCGCATAAAAATTTTATATATATTTAAAGTTGACGAGTAAACTATAAAAGTATAGCAGAAAATGTTACAACGTAGTTTCATTCCGTAAAAGGTGATGTAATCTCAAATTTATTATTAAAAATTTTAGATTTATTTTCTTGAAATTTTGTTGATGTTATTTTGTGCCCTAAAAATATTTTCTTATCTCTATTTTTACATTAATATTAAATAATAGTGCTTACTAATAAATTAATGTCTAATTTAGGGACTATACTCTAGGTTCACAGTGGTGCATAATGCACTAACATCAGGTGCATACTGGTGGGGTCCTATATTTATAAGCGTTGCGAGTGCACGCTTTTGCCCCGAGCCTCCTGCGTCGTCTATACACACACAAACATGCGGGTAAGTGCGATTACGCAATTTATTGTTTTGACTAGAATTTATGTTTCGCAAGAAGGAAATTATACTGAAAATAAAAAAAAAAAGTATTGTTTGGAAGTCATGCGTTTAGAATACAATAATCATTTTCTTAAAAAAAAAAAAACATAATTAATACAGCATTAAAGTATATAATTTAAAACATTAGATTGAAATAAACTTAAACGATTTGTTAAAGTTTTCATGTCGGAAATATAAAAATATACAAAAATTATCACGAAGAAAGAAACTAATGGAAAATTTTAATTTTAATTACATTATCTATTAGAGTATCTATCTACCTATAAATATTAATATAATATTTTTTTCTTTTCTAGTCTTATTTTTTAATAACTTTAGTAAGTTTAAATATAATCTGTATGCAGTTCAAAAATGACTTTGTTATTTTTGATTTTTCCTTAAATTAGCTGTCCATTATATTTACGAAATAATCTTTTTATATTTTAATAAATTGGCTTCGGTTCAGTACTGTATTCTTGGAAATGTTAACAAATGTTTCTTATTAGGTTGTTGTTTATCGACTAGATTGGGAATAAGTGTGATAGTGTGGCACTTATTTTAAAAAATCTGTAATAGTACAATCACTAATAAAATGTGTACAATAAGTTTTCGAACAGAGGGGTGTACTCAAATGCAACTAACTACACTAACATATATATATATATATATATATATATATATACATAATTAGCAGTGTGCGCTTGTACATACGAATAAAACATTATATTACCAACAAAAAAAAATATATTAATTACATCTTATTTTTTAAATACAATATTAAATATAATCATTTTACGTTAATTAATCTTAATTGTAAACACGCTATGTACATAATATTCATTTTTGAATAGTAAGGTTTGTTATACACAAACTCTATCCATTACTTGTTAAGCAGAGTTTAACCCTTCTTTGCATGTTTTTTTTATTGGTGATATCAAGGTGATATAATTCATATTCAAAAATAAAGGAAAAATGGTTAAAAAATAAATTTGACAGCTATGGTTTGTTTTCTGCAATGGACATTAAAAAGGTATCCAGACACGATCAACTTAAAGTGAAATTGTTCTTTTATATAATTTCTGGACATTCAATGTTATGATGGAAATTTCCACCAGTATGCAAAGAAGGGTTAAGTTGTAATGATTTCTTTATCGTCCTAGTTTTAATTATGGCTATAGCCAGGGCCAATTTTTCTGGTGTTTCTGTTCCACTTTTCTCAGCTTGTGTATCTATCTCGGACAAAGCATTGATTCGCTTGTATTCGGTCACGATGTCTACCCAGTATTTTTAAGCCAGCTATGAGATGTAGTGCCACTTAATTGTAGATTTAGATATACGTAGCTAAGATAATCTGCCTGTTTTAGCGTGATATGGCCATACCAAAGCAAGTGTCTTTCTTGTAATTTGTCAGAAATTACACGTTATGTGTTATAAATATAGTTGTTTATCAAACGCTACTGTTAAATATTTAACGTTATTATTTTAGAAATTACTACTATTGTTGGCATATACAAGTGCGGCGGTAACGGAGCCTTTGCAATACGTTTCGCACGGTGGATTGTTGACGCATGCGCCGGTGGCAGTCCACGCGCCCGTGGTACATGCACCGCTAGCTGTCGAGCCTGTTGTGAGTATACATATATGTATTTTGATATATTTTATTGTTTAAATTATAACATATATATGTCATTAAACATTAATATATGTAAAATCTATTGTCTCATTAGAAGTGGTTGGAAGATTTTTAAATTTGTAATATTTCTACATAACTTATAAATTTTACTTTAATTACGACAAGATTAATATGTGTTTATAGTGAATATTGTAGATTTGTGTTTTTATTTTTACAAATAATATTTATTTTTGCAGGCATATCCAAGGTATGCGTTTAATTACGGCGTGAAAGATCCCCATACAGGAGACATCAAATCACAGCAAGAGGAAAGAGACGGGGATGTTGTGAAAGGTAAGTCTGCAAATTGCTAACGATGCCTGTGTCAATTCGACCTCCATGCGGTTTACCCCGTCAAACATCGTAGTTACTACTGGTGGTGGTTTCTTAATTACTGGTGAATTAGTCACCAGTAATTACGAGTACCTGGCTTGATTATTCTCATCGGTAGTACTACACTGATAATTCGTCAATGTAAACCAAAATAGTACAGGCAGAGTAACCATTACATTTAAAGCGGACAGCTTTTATTACATTTATTATAAATGACACTTTAAAAAGACAATTCATTTTTTATCATAAAAAAAAAACTACTAAAGTCTTTAAGAGCGTTTGTACTTTAGCTTATAGAAATGTATCAACGTGTGAATAAAGGACACTCTTTAAAATATCAATCAGAAAAATTTAAAATTGTTCAAATTTTTTCAAATGCTACACTTTGGGAAGTTAAAATATGAATGTTCTTAAGATATGTTATATTACTTATTCCATTGTAGATAGGAAATTCTTAATTTGGCTTTATTTTTGTATGTATTTGTATGATATTTCCGTCAATAATAAACAGTGAATATTGTTGAATCTTACACAATTAATCATAAAACTGTCGCGCGTTTGTTTGTTTGTTTTATTCAATTGAGTTAAGTGGTATATAAGTTGTGCTTTTATTTAATGTAGTTAGAACATAGGTTTACAAATGAGTTACAGACAAGAATGAAACATTTATTTATACTGCAGAAGTATTTGGGGGGTATTATATTTCAATTTTGAAGAAAAAAATAAATAATTAAAATTGTATCACAATAATTTATCATTATCATCGAATTTAAATTAGATAAAATTGTTATAGATCTATAATTTTACAAAAAAGTAATCATCTAAATCGGTTCAAGATTTGCGCATTTTTTAAATAATATACATGTAAATATCGACGTGTTTGATAATGCTCGTATTATTGTAAACTTTAACGACCGACTGTCAATTTCTTGTCCAGGAAGCTACTCGCTGGTGGAACCGGATGGCTCAACCCGAACTGTAGATTACTCAGCAGACGACCACAATGGGTTCAATGCCGTTGTCCACAAAACTGGACACGCAGTGCATCCGGTAAGCAAATATACTTACGTATGTTTACATGCGATAATATGCCCTACTTTTTCTTAACTTTATTAAAGCAACAACATAGCAATAATACTGTTTTTCTATATTTGAAACATAAAACTTGCGTAAATAAAGTCATTAAATTAGAAAGTTATTTCCTATTTATTAATTAAATAGTTTCTTATAATTAGCATTAGTATATTTAATAATATTATTTTAATAATATCACTAAATATACTAATATTTATAAATAAAATAATAATACTATTTAATTTTTATTATTTAGTAATTGTGCCAAATACCTATAGGAAAAAGGATTCTATAGGTACATGTAAAGTATATTTCTATAATATATCGATGTACCGATATTGATAAGTAAATATTTGTGCAGATGTAAATATTTAGTGAAAAAATACTATAGATAAATAAAAGTTTTAAAAAATAAAAAACAAGAGATATCATAGGCCATGGTCATGGCCTAGTAGCCTACTCCAACTACTATAGACACCATACAAATAACAACATATTCGTGAATTCGAAACTAGCTGACATCAAAAATTTTATTAGTCATATTATATTACCGACTAATTCTTCGGTGGTAGAAAACATCGTTAACAAATCAAATTAACCCGAACGTTGATGGTAGGCTCGTTATGCAGACACTAATTACATTACATTACAATAAATTAAATTACACCTTTGCAATTATGTTATACGGGTACGTTTATTTCTAATGTGTAAGTGTTAGTAGTTATATAGAAATTAAATAATTTATGACTTTTTACTCACCGGATAACTTACTAAAGTGACTAACATTACACAAACTCGATTTCTCTGGAATTGCACGGCGGCGTGCGCTTACGCAAGATTACTAATGGTGCGTAAGCTTATAAGGAAACAAGTTAGTCCGTGAATCTTGGCTAACATATTTAACCGAATATCTGGATAGATATAGAGAGCGAAACCTTTTTAGGTAACGGACTTGATAAGCCTCTATGTAAATTATTTAAATTTTTACAAGTTTTTATATTTGTAAATTGCTTATAAATTTTTATATATCTTTTTCCTACCGGAACATTTTTCTACGAGTGTAGGCAAAGAAATATTTGACAAATGTAACAAAGTTTTTATTACGAAAACAATTCATTAAACGTTTGATTAAGAGCGTTCTTACCGAAGTTCGGATATGTTCTTGCAATTTTTTTAATATCACTGAGGAGGCTAACAAGCGTACAGTCCACCTGATAATGGTATGGTAAGCGGTTACTATAGCCTATTATGAACGCCTGTAATACCAGGGGCAGCACACGCGCGTTACCGACCTTGAAACCCCTTTACCCCTTTTTTGAAGAACTCTATGCTGAAGTCTCTTGAAAAAATCTCGACAGGATGTCATTTTAATTAAAAAAAAATTAATTATTATAAAGTACAATTAACTAAAATAGTATAATTTATATGACAACTAGGTTACTTACAAGTTTTTTATTGATAAAATTTTTAGTTATACTGTATCAGAGTATTAAAATATTAAATAGTGTCTATAAAATAAATAAATATCAACAACTTCTTAATTAATATTGATGATAATGATGTAATTTTACTTTGACCCTTTTGTGGATAAAAGTTATAGAGATATACGCAATTCTGGACTTCAAGTAAAATGTTATGCTCGAGTAGTTATAACCTTCAAATGCACCGACACGCATTATTTAGAGAAATTTCTCCGCTTCAATGATTTTCGTGACAAAACAAATGATTACAAAATATTTAGGCTGTAGACAATTCAGATCACTTTACCAAATTATAAATTTAAGTGACGACAGACGTAGTCTTTAGGGTTCCGTTTAGAAAACGTAAGAACCGTTTGTTGCAGCGCTATAATTCACTAATTACTGACTATTAATGTTGATTTGAATGACTTTTAAATATTGTTAATCTAATTTAATTGCAAAAAAAAAAATACAAAACATATTTTTAGTTTCGTTCCATTGTTTCTTCCTACCCTAATGGGAGATAGGCGTGACAGATATGTATGTATATATATGTATTTTTAGTTTCTTTATCAGATGGAGTGCCGAAATTGTAAAGAGGAACTATTAATTCAAGTGCGAGTTATACGGATTTTGACACAATTTTTTATATACACAAGTAGATATATATTTGTTAATTTCGTTTTATGGTTGATATTAACTCTGAAATATTTTTTTTTAAATACATGTCATACTGTTAATTTTATATAACGCTCCATTTAGCGATAGAGACAGTTTTGTGCTTTTTTTGTTTTTACATTAAAAAGTAATATTCTGTGATGTAAAGAATGTATAACTCTATGGTATCGAGTTGTTAATGTTTATTTATAGTATTGTTTTTTTTTTACATTTGCTTTTTAATCGAAACTCGTAACATTCTTTTTTATATTACATTTGAGCGCGTTTGACTACAATGATACCTGGTGGTCTACCATGAAATGAAATTCCGAAATTTCGGGCTCAATTTCGTGTTTTTGTTTATACCAAAATCGAACCAATAAATGGAGCTTAACATTTGGTTCATCATAAATACTATCCTAATAGTCCAGAGGAACGATATTTTAACATTTTTAATAATTTTAAACGGCATGTATTATGTAATTTTAACATCAAATTTCTATTTCGTTCGTCCCCGAAATTTTGGAAATCATTTCATGGTAGGCCTACAGATCTTAAGTGACGATAAAGTGTAAGGTGTTACACGCAAATTTAAATTAATAAATTTAAATAATGCCTATTCACTCTAACTTTGATTTTATATATATTGTAATATTATTTTACCGCAGGTGGCTGTGGCGGCGCCGGTAGCACATTATGCCGCTGCGCCAGCTATTGCAGTCTCTCCCTATGGATTACACTAACGAACATTCGCAGCGTTTTGAGCAATGACAATGTGATTTAAAATTACATTGTCGTTAATTTAAGTACAATTTAATAATATGCTAAAAGCAAAGATGGTATGGACAGGGTTAGGATATAATGCAAAGTTACCGCTCGATGGTATTACTTTTTTCTTAATACGTGTATGTAGGTAATGCGCGTAATTAGTGCTCTGTGGATATTTGTTCACAGTCTCACTTTAATTTGACGTATGTTCAATTGCCATTTGAGAGAAGCATCTGAAGTAGGTACAAGTATTTGGTTTATGAATGTTATAATTACTATTAGATTGTATTTATATTTATACTTACATTATTTTAAGAATATTACCTATATGTTTTATATTTAAGAAGTATTAGTAAAGTATTTTATCACTTTTTTGTGTTTCAATCATGATGAAAAAATTTCGTTTTGATTAAGCATCTATTTTTTCATTGTTCCATATGCTACCACCCCTTCATCCCTAAGATATTATAATAAGAGGCGATTAGAGCATTAATGTATTCATGTATTACTGTAGACCTCCGTGATGCAGCGGTAGGCACTTTGATTTACATTATTAGGTTAAGAGTTCAATTCTTGGGTTGGCCAATTTAGTAAAACAAATTTTGCAAATTGTCTCCGGTCTGGATTGTGCCCCTAGAAATATAACCTAGAAAAATATAACTCAAGGTTAATTCCTCATAACACAGGATATCTTAGCTTATATAAAGTATTATTATCACTTGCTCCATGCTCGGGCTTCGGAGGGTACATAATGCTGTTCGGTAAACCACGTCAGTGGCCTTCGCTAATAATGAAGGCGGCCGAGAAACTATTAACTCAAGAGGATTTTTTTCAATGCATGATGATGGAATGGTAGCCCCGCCTGTGCTAACGGTTTACGCTGGCGGGGCACCAGTGAGGATAAAAGGATAAGTGATAAGTGACGATGAAAGGGCAGGTCAGTTAGCTCATCGTGATGAATTCACCTGGAATTCAGTACGATAGTTTTCAGGGGGGACCACGTGAGGGTCGACCCGATAAGGTATATTGCTAGCAATGGGGCTGATAGTCCGCATTACTAACAATCCCTTCCCCTCAACTCAAGAGGGTAACTACTCTTACACGATTCATCGTAATAGCGCAAGAAAAGATAATGTTGATATAAAAAAAATAATCAGCGTGATACTAGTAGTATTATACCATTTTTTTTTCTCTTTTTATTATCCGTAGTGGGTTATTATGGTATTAAGCGTAGAGAAGAGGGATATCTATTATATTATTATATATATTATATTTATATTCTTGATATTTTATAAAAATATAATATGACAAACTGGCTCCCATGGTTCCGCTTGCAAACCTGTTGTTTCTCGATTCGTAATAATTTCCGTATGACAGTTTACGAAATTGTATTAGCAAAAGGGTGGACTCTGATCAATAAGTAATTTTAGATAGTATCCTGTACAGAAAAATAAGTTTCATTAGTACTCGTATTAAAAAAATAAACCACATATTTTTAATAGATTAAGCAGTTTAATAGATTACAATAGAAAAATGTTATTAGCCTAATTTTTTAATATAAATCTAATTAAAACATAACCTTCTCTTTAGAAATTTATTATATAATGGTATTAATTACGTATACCCAGCAGAGGTTCAATGACCTTAATGTCCGATTATGGCTTAATTTATATGCTGTATTCATATTTGCATAGACTTGCTATAAATCCTTAATAGGTTAAAACATGTTTCAGTTTATTATACTTCATTAGGAAGCGATGCGTCATATTTAGAGTTTAGCAGTTTGTAGCTTCCAGAACGTCGTGAATCAATGTCAAGTTCCTTAATGATTATCATCTTAATGATAATGTATTAATCTATTAACTCATTGGTATGTGTTTATAGATAAATACAAAAAATGCTAGTAATCAGGCTTTTGGACCCTATTACTAACAGTCCCTTTCCCCCTTGCCACCACCGGCCTTTGGAGTAATTTTACTTTCTTACGATGTATTTTCTTACGATATTATTTATCGCCGATAAGTGAGTTTGAATTTTGTACAATATTTAGTTTTGACATAATCTAAAAATATATATAACAAAGTCGGGTTAGTTACATTATTTATAATTTCAGAATCGCATCGTATAGTAGAATAACTATTAAAAAATTGGATATATTAACGTACAAAAAATACAGAAAAAAATATTTTAGACTGTTAGGCGGTAGAAAGTTCACCGGGTCAGATAGTTGAATATAAAATGTAGTAGTAGTTACAAAGTTATTTACAGTGGAGGAAGATAGCAGTCAAGATGCGTGACAAGAGCCTAAACTCAGAAGACTATTCTAAATTACGGGACATTAAAAGACTAATGCATAAAATCTACAAGAAAAAGTAAGGCAGTAGAAAAGATGCCAAATGATCAATTTGTGTTAAGTTGTAGTCTATTCTCAAATGCGATAATAAGGATGCGATAACCGTCTTATTTATACAACTTGGACTGGCCAACAATTATCCACCTAGCCCCGTATACAAGTAGCAAACGAATCTTTGAATTGAATTGAATTGCTAGCAAGCCCTTGAGATATGATAGAATGTGATAGCGACATCCGATATCTGATTCTTTCTCTCATGGACTCGTTAGCTATAACGATTTCATAGATAGATTTGTTTGCCATTTGTCTGGATATCTGATGGAAAATGGAAACCGTTATTATATAAATATACTATGATGCCCATGAATTGATATTTACAGATCAAGTAATTACTACGTTATAAGATTTGGTAGTGGTGTTATATTCATGAAAAATAAAATGCATATTACTTTTTTGAAACAATAATACAATAAAGTAAATGAATATTCATTATGTTGTACTACTATCTATATGTATATGCCTCCATCCAAAATATCGTAATAGATTGTTGTCATGAACTAGCTATTTGTTCTACAAATATCGTGTTTTAACGACATTAATTTGTCTATATAAATATCTTTTGGTATAAATTAGGATTAAATTCTTTTACATGATATTTATTAGATATATTACTTAAAACTTTATATTTTATATAGATATATAATATTTTTTAGTAGATACATACATATAATGCTTTATATATTTATATTTTATTAAGTAAATATTATTGTGGGTGTAAAAATTTAAGTCTTTAAAATGCCAAATCGGTTATTTTACGATTGTCATGTTTTATTTCAAACTGCACATTTTATTCTCTGCGTCCGCTCATTTAGTGATTTGATAAAGACATTATTGTTTTTTATTTGATCACAGATTTAGGCATTCAGTGCCTTCAACCTGTAATGATATTAAATATATGAGTAAGTACCGTACGAGTGCTAGTTTCGAGCAAATTACAAGCAAATATTCTTTGGGTACAAAATCATACTAATATTATATTCGATCAATAGGAATATTGTATATGTTGATTAAATTATTGTATAATTAAAAATAACTTTACAGTATTTTTAGGAGATACTTCAAATTTAGTCTTGTTTCGACATTCTATTTCTTTTTATTTGCGAATTGCAACAGTACATATTTACTAGTATAATGCGAAATTTTATAATTATAATAGTAAGGCTAAGCTATTGTAAAATTTAATTGTAAAATCGCACCTAGTCTTCTACATAAGATTATATTGCATTAGATTTTCTAATATTATATTGCAAGAAAACTAAATTCAAAGAATGTCAATATAATATTAGAATTCAAGCACTGTCTAAAGCTAGTGATCACTGGATTATGATAAAAAATATGCACACGATTCTTACTTAAGATAATGGTAAGTATTTACTCTTGTTTGTTATTGCCTATGTATAGCTTTAAAAATAATGATAGAAGCATTACTGAGTTCTATACTGTAATATTTGCATTTGATATGTTTTATGTAAATAAAATTCGTGTTCCTCGTATTTATCAGTAATGTTTATATATCTGTTCTTATTACGTAATCGTACACTATTATCGAAAGTAGCATAATATACGATAGAATCTATTCTAAACTGGCCCTAGCAAGTTCTACCTGTTTACGATACATTTGCAACTTACATGATATTGTAGGACAGTATATCTACTTGTATATTATTTAGTACCATTATACTATTTTATAAGAACAATGAGAAATAACAAAGGTATTTAGTTACTAATAAGTACGTATATTATTATGTAGAAAATGTTTTCGCTATAAGATCACTTTTAAATAATTAATCTACTATCTTACTCTTTGGTAAGCTGCGATAACGAATGTACTTAATATATTTTACTATTTGATTCTATTACTTTCATTATAATTTACTTCATGTTTAAGAACATGTTTTATTTTATTATGTAATCTCTAGCCATTCATAAGTCTTAATGGACAAGCTAGATATAAAATGATTGTTGTATTCTTCGTATTTAAAATATGTTATATTCATCTTAAAAGTACAATTATATCCTTTTCATGAAGAAAAAGTTAAAACAATACAACAAATTAAATACTGAGGACAACGGCACTTTCATAGCTTTATAACAGTACCCACGACCATATCTAGTATCGTCTAAAAGGTACAACTTGCTATCGTCGCAAACAGCTTTATCCTGCCATACCTCATGGAGTGACATCAGTGTTGAGCGGATATGGGCGAAATTGCCCTCACCCACAAAGTTTACGATCGTATTTAGTATAGCTGTTGTTTTTGCGACTTAACCACTAAAGGAGTCGCCCATTAACTTATATGAGAACTCGTGTGTTGGACCAGCAACACGGACGACAAGGAGTTTATTTTATCACATAGAAATGGAACTGTTCAAGGTAGGATTTTAATATTTACTTACTTAACGCTTTCTATTTAAATTGGTTTATCTGTAGATAGAATTAGCATATTTCAGTAATATTATATGATATGTAAAGTAGTGTTATCGTTATAAATTTAAGGAAGTATATAAATATTAACTTACAATCAAGATATTTTTTATATTCTAAGTTATTTGTCTGTTCTTTGGCTTAAACTATCTGTGATTAGAAAAAGTGAAAGAAGTTATATTAGTACTTACTAATTTAAGTTATGTTATTTCTATTAATTTCAAATTGACCATCCCATAAATAATTCATTGTGATTGAGTGTTTATGAGATTTTATGTAATAAACAATAAATTTTAATATTTCAGTAGACATAGTAGTATATTCATTACAATATCATTTGTTAATATATAGATACTTTATTTTTTACCTGCTAGAAATATTTAGAATTATACCTTAATTATATTTATTTAATTGACTAGATGAGATTTACAGTTTTCCAATATGCTTACCTAGGAAAGCATCAATATAAGAGTAATTACTGTAATAAAGATAAAATGCAGACAATAAATAATTATTGAACATAAATCAATACAAAACAATATGCCAGGGATTAGTTTGCCATCTCCTCTCCTTAAGAGAGGAGATGTAAATTTTCTAGAAAAACTTAAAAATAATAATAATAATAATACCTTATTTTTTTAACTAGTTTAACAAAAAGTAATTAAGTTTGTGAAAGTATCTGTCCAGAAACCGGCCAATAATTGCAAAATAATGTATTTTAGTGGTACGTAAAATAGTACAATAGTACTTCAGAATAATAGATAAGTACATTTGTTATTGGCCCCAGCATATAATGGTGGGTGTCGTAAAGTGACTAAGGAACTTAATGGTTGAGGAACGGGCAGGAGCGGCCCTCTTAAAACATCACCATAATTCTAATTCATTATTTTTTTTTCTCTGCATATGTATCTATATCTGTTGTTATTTGTGTGATATATCTAATCGGGGTTGCCAACATGCCTGCCAAGCATGGCAACTACTGGCAAATCCCTCCCCTTATAGAGGAGGGCTACGTTCAGTAGTAGACATTTAGCGGTGGATATGAATGAATGAATATATTTTTAATAAAATTATTATTCAATAAAATATTATAATGAATTTTAAAAGTAAATTTTGTACTTATTAAAGTTGGTAAACATAGATAATATAATACTGTTGTAGGAACATAGTTTAGTAGGTTTATGATTTGCATTTAAGCAGTCAATTTCAGATAAAAATCATTGCATTACTTTATTGTTCAGGCTCTTTTTTAAAAGATTATAATATTTAGTTATAAAATATCTATTAAAGTAATGTAATGTACTAAAAATAATAGTATTTTATGTATTAAATATACATAGTTTTTTTTTATTACTTAATCACACATAATAACAATAATAAAATAATGAAAAGTCGCAGAACAGTTATGTAGATATATTTTCTACGTACGTAAAACTCAATTTTACAATGTAGAGAAAACAGTAAATATAAAACCAAAATTATCAACATGTATGGGTGCTTCTATATTTACGGTGGCATGGTACGGCATGGCATTATGATTATTTCAACTCTTAAACATAAGCGTCTCTGGTATTACTTTTGCCAGTTTTCTTGCTATAAGTACCTACCTTTGTTATTAACTTTGCTTAAACTTGAGACTATAGATCAACTCACTTTAAAGAAATCAAGGACAGCAAAATGTATGTAATTGTATGTAGACACTTTAGTAATTTTTAGTCAAAAATAACGTCATAGACATATTGTAGATATATACATAAAGTTAGTGTTTTTATATAATTGCATACATTTTGCACCCTATTAAGTACATTTACAAGTTGCATCCTATATCGTAACAAAAAAATCGTGACGTGTCGTGCAACGATAAATTACAAAAGCGCCTCGTTTATAAGAATAGTGGTTTCTGTGGTGCGATCTTTAGTAGGTTTAAGTAGATAATCAAACATAGAACCCTTGTTGAAAAAATATTGTAAGATTATCTAGATAAAATATAGAAACTGCTAAATGCTTTTAGATACTTTAAACTTTCATAGGAATATTTTCTTGTGACTTGTGTTTCTTTCAAATAAATCTAGTTTCATTACAAGAGCACTCTCTAAAAAGGATGCTAATAATTTCAATTTAAATTTACATATCTAGTTATGGAATAATAATAAATTATAGTGATTGAATCTATTTGCATATTAGTGACCATTATTTTTATCCATTATAAATTAATTAGATTTTATTAGCATGCTTAATAGGTACAAGTGGGGGGAAAGGGATTATTAGTAATGGAGACTGAGAATCCTATTGCTAGCAATATACCCCACCAGGTCGACCTCCTCGCGATTTTCCCTGGAAACTATCATGGTTAATTCCTGATGAATTCATCATGATGGGCTAACTGGCCTGTTTTCATTCTCATCTATCACTTTTCACTGGTGCTCCGCCAGGGTATTCCGTTAGCGCAGGCAGGGTTACCATACTATTTTCACCCATCAAAAAAAAAATAGGTACAAGTATCTAAATCATATTTTTTGATGCTGTAATATTTTCATATGAATTGCTGGTGGCAGTGTAAATATAACTAATGAGTTACATTATTCAAATATGTACTGTTATACATTAATATATTTTTGTATGTAAATTCTTAAATTTAAATTATATTTCATTAATCATTACCTATACATATGAGAGAATCATAGACTTGTACGTGTAAGGTAACGCAAAACTGTATGTATTTTGGGTGATAAATAAGCATGTCGATAATATGATAGTAAAATTATTGGGTATGGAGTTATAACACATTAGTCTTCAAGAATGGCAGCATATAAGGGGCTTTAGAGGTATCGTGGGCGTCACAGTATTTTCTGTGATATCTATAGTGTTGCTCACAATTATAGGTGACTGTTACTACTTTCCGTTAAGTGAGCTACTGGCTTGTTTACCATTTTAAGTTGCATAAAACATGTTTAAAATATAGGCGGGTAAAATTTGTGAATGAAAACAAAGTTGTGCACCTACAGTTTTTTAACTTTTTCATAATTTTTGTGGAAAAATTGTAGGATATATTGTAGATATGTAATTCATACATTAATTGGAATATTTTGTTCGTACTTAATTTATAAATTTTTTTTTATTTTCATTTTAGATTTTATTTTTTGTAATGCCATGGCTGAGCGAATGTCGAGTATTATGGGCACCAAGACAGGCTAGATTGAGTTCAGCTGCCTCTATACCTAGTTATTACTACACAAATATAGATGGTAAGAATTTAAAAAAAGAAAATAAATATGACTGTTTATGAAATTTTATCTTATTAAATAAAACATATTTATACTAATAATTTTAATTATAAATGTTGTACCCATATAAATATGATAAAATTTATTTTGAATATTTAATTTCATAAGAGTCATTGCTGAGTTTCTTGCGGGATTTTCTCAGTTTCAACATTCCGAAAAACGATACAATTATTTAAACTTAGATTATTTTAATAAAGCTACGAACGTAATTCTAAATGGGTAGACAACGGCAGACATTTATTGAATACTAGCGGCCTGTCCCGGTGTTCCACGGGTGGACATTTTTACAATTTAAAAAATGGCTATTAAGGCTGCACACGCAATGGAAGCTTAAAAATGGAGTAATTTCTCTCGTTTTCCCAACATTTCCCTTTACTGCTCTGCTCCTATTGATCGTAGCGTGATGAAAAGTATACCATAACCTGCTCAGGAGTATGAAGAATAATTGTACCAAGTTTCGTTAAAATCCGTCGATTAGTTTTTGTTTCTATAACGAACATATAGACAGACAGACAAAAATTTTACTGATTGCATTTTTGGCATCAGTATCGATCACTAATCACCCCCTGATAGTTATTTTGGAAATATATTTCATGTACAGAATTGACCTCTCTACAGATTTATTATAAGTATAGAAGATTGCCATTTGGTGATATAATATTTGACTGGGACTATGTCTGTGTGGGAAAATATATTTTTCGTATATGAAATTAAGACTATCGTGTATAATGAAGGAGACCTAAACCTCTCGATACTAGAGAGCGACACTTTTACACATAGTGTCAAAGTTATTAATAGTAGTTTCATTTTCTTTAAATAACAATGCTGTTGTTTGATTTTTTTAAGATATAATAACGCTATTGCCATTTATAGGATATCCCGGGACATATTCATTCGGCTATGATACGTACGATGCAGCGACAGGCAACACGCAGTTTCGTACAGAAGAAAGGTACCCCAATGGTACAGTAGTCGGTAGCTATGGATATGTGGACCCACGTGGAAGAGCGCAAAGTTTCACATACATAGCTGATGAGAAAGGATACAGGTTTGTAATTGTACACGTATTGTAGTTATATATATATATATTTTTCTATAATGTTGTGACACATTGAGTCGTAGCTATCTGATGTTAAGTCATTATGAAATCTATCTGTATGGGTCGCAGGTTCAAAATTGCATCTAGCCTATGGCCCGTGCCGGCTTATATAAACATATCTCTGTTGATGGGATTTTAGTTATATTTGACAGGAAACGTACATACCAGGAGGGAGTTCGACTTTGATAGTTTGACAGAAGTAGGAGTCGTCAAACATTTTGGTCCTAGTACGAAGCTCATCAACAGTATATGAATGCATGATTTATAATATTAATATAATTTTTTTATACTCTTGTATTAACGAACTGAGAGGGCAATTGAAGTTTTGCCACCTACCAAGTCTACTTTTTGGGATAGACACTAGATCTATTTCTCAAGTTGGAGCAAATAACACATATCAAAAAATATCATTGATGTTGGTTGAGTGGTTACGGAGATAAGCGTGAACGAAGATAGTGACGTGATTTTTATATATCAATATAGAAATCATGTCATGTCACGTCATGAGTTATATTTTTAGCGATAATTTTAATTTGCCTGTAATATTTATTCAAAACTTAATTAAAGAATACATGATACCTAGCAGTGGTTACAATATTTAATTTCATTAAAAAATGTTACGAAATTTAAAATTTTTTATTAATAATAAAAAATTTAATTTCCAGATTAATAAGCAAAGTTCCCAAGTCGACCACAACTCAATCTGCTAAAGGCAACCTGGTCGATGTACCAACGGAACCTTCTATAACGTGGACGAGACCGAAGAAAAATAAAAACAAAGTAGTCGGCAGTTATTTAGTTAAATTACCTATAAAAACAAATGATTACAACTTGCCTCAATAATATGTATATAAAATAAGTAGTACAGAATAACTCATTTCGAATGAGTATAAATAATATACTAAATAGTTTTATTTATATTATTTTGGTTCATCACGTGTGGAAATAGAAGAAAAATATGTATCATGGGACAATTAAAAGTTACGATGAAAATCTTAGTTTTAATTATTTATTTAAGTATTTTAAAACCAATGTATCATCAATAGCTTTACTATAGTTTGAATAAACAATCGTTATTTATCATTTCATAATTATTTATTTAAAAAAGACATTATCATATGTTTATGGACGTAGTAGTAGGTATTATCATAGTAAAATTATTTCAAGTTGCTAATGTCAGGGATTGGAGAAAGAACATGAAGTATATAGATTAAGGATAGTACATGCTAATAATTAATAATTATAAATTTTTCCTTTATATAATTATGATTAAAGCACTACTTTCTATCAGGTGGACCATCAGCTTTTAACAGAGTAACTACAAAGCATTTTGATAAAGTTTTAACTTAAGAACAAGGAATTACATAGGAGGAATGATAAAATAAAAAGTGTAAAGGAGGCAACCATATGCCTCTTTTAAAATGTTTGATATGTCAATTATTTATTAATACCAAATTTTACATTACTAGATTATATATTCGACACAGTTTATGTAGAAATTGTGCAAGCAGGTTGTATTTGAATTTGGTAGGGTTATACGGCCGTATAACACTTTCTATACACTACCCTGCTATGAATTGAGAAAAATAACAATTGATGGTGTATATTTCGTCCTCTTTTTACTAGTTATATTTGCTTAAGAAAAAAGGAGGCAACCATATGATTAAAAATTTTTATGTTATCATTCCTTCTACGTAATTCCTTGTTCTTAGGTTTTAACCAAATTGTTCTTAGGTTTTAATACGAGTATCACCGAACGTCATCTCATTACCTTAGATTAAGAGTATTATTTATTATGATACCTACGGTGTCCTTTTTGCATTTACTATAAAGGTTACCAATTTGTGACACATTTATATGAAAGATTTATACAATAGAAACATGAATTTAATATTAATGAAATTTACTTATATTTTCATAATAATTATGTTTTCATTGCCCGGAATAATAAAATGTAAGTAAAATTATTTTAATGAATGCAATTGTGATAATACTTTATTAGTTTACTCTCATTATTGACAGGTTATCCTGTTGAGAATAAGGGTCTACAGAGTAATTCTGATTTTAAAGATGAGAAACGGTATCCTAATGGAACTGTGGTAGGGAAGTATTCATATACTGATCGTGAAGGAAATCCTATTCAAGTCAAATATTATGCAGATGATTCAAGCTACGGGTATGATATTAATATATATTTCAAGATTTTGCTCCACAGAAAACACAAACTTTAATTCATGGCTAAACAAATAATTTTGATTTAAAAAAAAAAAAAACTTGAACCGATTTTGATATAAAGTACCAATTTGAAAGTATATCCTTTCAGATAAAAAATATTCTAAATCGGTTTAAAAGTAACGGAGTTATGAGACAATAAATACAAGAAACCGATTCGAGAACCTTTTCCTTAAGTTTGGTTGAATAAACCTCCATCTTAATGAAACTAATATGGGATTGTGTTAGAAATCCTCAGTTAAAAACAATAAAATAAAAATTAGTTTAAAAATTAGCGAAGTTGTCGCGTAACATGCACTTACTTTTTCTTTTTTTTAATCATCAATAATAAAAGCTATGGTTTATTTATTACTATTATAAATATGATAGGTCTATGTTCTAAAGAAGCATTTCTAATTTCAACTATCGAATTATTATGAAACAGAAAAGACATTTTAATACATTTATCAACATTTTTTTTGTCCATATTCATTTTATTAATCACAGAATTTAATTTTTTAGTATTGAATTAAAAAGTATTAAAATAGTAGAGCCTATTGAAGACATACCTCAAACAGCTAAAGAGGCAAATCTTGAATATTTCTTGCAAAATACTGCTTCACCGATAGATGAATCAAAGGATTCTTTCTTTAATCTAAAATATAAAACCAAAGATCCATTAGAAATTCTTAATAAAGAAATTAAAACAAATCGTTTCAAGGAACACAGCACAATCTCTGACTATGAAATATTTGTAGAAAACGATTTAAAAGCTCCAAAAAAGTGTGGCAAAGACAAAGTTAGAATCTATTTTGACAAAAATAAAAGAAAAATACGCGAAGCAAGGAACAATGAAAAAATTGCAAAATACTGTGAGCTATTTTGAAATATACATTATATAAATTGTGATTTATTAGTTATTGATATTAAAAAAAAGAAAATGTTGTTTAAATATTTATTTATTTAATGGAAAAACACAGTGACATATATTTTTTATTGTTTTTGGTCATTCACGAGTTTATTTATAATGTTTCCGTTTATAACAAGCCATTCTGACTCTTGATAGATAGCTATAGGTTACGTTGTAAATATTATTATCTTTATTAAACTTACAAAGTTACAATAGAAGAACTTCATCATTGCTGATATTATATTTTATATCATCATTGTGTGTGTTTAGTTAAAATTTATTTTTGTCAGATGATTTTGATTCACGTTTTATATATATTTATTTTCAATAGGTTTTTGGTAAGGTGTGTTACTCGTCTGAGTGGGTATAGTGCAAGTAATATCTGATTTTTCACAATTTCTTGCTGTTGTTTTGAAAATACTCATAAGATTTATCTTGACACCCATAAGCATGATAGGGCGATAACAATCGCTGAAGGTGACAGATATTAAAAAGGCCCTAGGTATATGCAATGGTAGAATCCGCTGCATATATCTGCTACTGCATATGTAAATATCATACAGACATTGTTGCCCTACTTTGTTAAATGACTATTTTTTTCATTAGATATTGTAATAAAATTATTAAAACAATACATATATACCTAAGTATTGGAGCATTGTTGAAGGTTCCATTATTCTTGAAATAGCATTGTAAATTGATTTTTGCACTAGACTTACTATCAGAGTAACGCATATTTTTATATCGAACAATCGTTTTAGTATCACACTCTAATATGCCTCGTGTTTCTATAATATCTGAAATATACAGAGCATGCATTCTGAGAATAAATGAATCTAAATAATTGACTCAAAATATTTAAACTACCACTAGTTATAATATTTTTTTTGGTATATTTAGTTCCGATAAGTTTTTCTTGCATTTTTTACAATATTTTATTTTTTTTCATTATATTATACGTTTCTCTTCTTCAATCAAATTCCTTGTAGTCCGGCCGTTTTATTGGTTTAGGATTAGAAAAATTTAAATTAATATAATATAGTATACCTCTATATTATATTAATTTAAATCTTAATTTAAATCTCTCACAATAGTTATTATTAAATATTACTGTTTAATAATAACTATTGTGAGGCATTCAGTATTGTAATTATATATGTAGACTTACGTTTTAAATTTGGGGATGTCCATCTAGTTTCGAATTCAGAAGGGATCCTTCGTAACGAACCGAAAAAATGCCAGTAAAGTTGACATAAATAATTTACAATATGTCTATGATTAGGTATGTCATAATTGTCTGTTAAAAACGCCTAGCATTGCAGTACATGCAATGTGTCTCTTTTTCATTTCATGACTATCGTATAAGGCTATAAAAGGTAGTAAAGTACTACACTGTAATGTAATCGGATTTTCCTTACACTGGCAAGATAGAAAAGATTTAAAAAACCTGATATTATAGGGCTTTATTTCGCTACCATGGTAAAAGTAAACTAATTTTAAAAATCACGTGACACGATGTTATTTCATGCTAATCTTCGAAACCGCTCAAACGATTTTAATGAAATTTGTTCTACCGTTTATAAAATGGACTGTTTTTGAAAAATAAATTATTCAATATAAAACCCATTGCCACTTTCAACCATCGAACACCTCGCCATCGACAGAGAGTTCATTTTCATACCTTAGAACCTAGATGATCGCGTACACCGCGATTTCAAAGATGTTTCCTCCCACGAATGCTCAGGTTATGGAATAAGCTCCTTATCGATGTTTTTCCAAGAGCCTACAGCAGGGGGTTCTTCAAAAAAAGGGTAACGAGTTTTCTTTAGTGACAGAAACACGCGCGTAATGCTCCTGGTATTGCAGGCGTTTATAAGTTATGGTAACTTCATATCATCAGGTGGGCTGTATGCTTGCTTGCTACCTCAGTGGTATTAAAGAAAAAATGTAAATGTGTAATTAAACTAAGAGATAGGATAATTCTTAGCTTAATAAGAAAAATTTATGCAGTAGATGGCGGTCGCGAGCAAAAAACGTTTGACAGGTTTATTTATATAATTTTATAAGCTTTTACCCGTGACTTTATTCGCGTAACCGAGATATGTTCACTAACCGGTATAAAAAGAAAAATATTCTTCAAAAAAGTATATTAAGGTTTCTTCAGGGTCGGCAACGGCACACGTGACATCCCTAGTGTTGCTGGCAGTCATAGGCTACAGTGACCGTCCATTATCAGACGGGCTATATGCTTGTTTGCCACCTTTGTGGTATAAAATATAACAAATTTTATAGTGATAGGTTAAGCCGTTAAAACGTTAAGAGGTAACAAAATAAATACAAACTTACTTTATAGACCTATGTTTAGTACAAAAAAAACCGAACAAGATCTTTTTTTACATTCTATATAAAAATAAAAAATAATAATAATGAAAAGACCTACCTTTATAAAAGTATAAACATGTTTTTTCCTTACTACTGGCCTCGTATTTTCAACATACTGTATGTCCCAAATTTGTTTGCTAGATGTAGTATCTTGACACAGCAAGCATCGATGAGATTGTTTTCTTGTACAAACGTTGTTTAAAGACTTAGACGTTGATATCTATACGAAATTTAAAATTAATCATTATTAATTTGATTTAGACATTTATGATCTCAATTTGTATATCATATGTACTTCATGGGAATTTCATAGTAGAGGGATGGGTAGCAGCGTCCTTCTTAAAACGATACTAAAATCCTAACTGCGGTTGCCAACCCGCCTACCAAGCGTGGCAACTACTGGCAAAACTTCCCTTATGAAGGTTTAATTTCAGTTAACGGCTGATATGAATATGATGATGTATGTCTAAGTTATTAGCAAACTAGAGTTTTCATTGATAATTAGAATGGAAAACGGGCTGACGGTCCATCTGATGGAAAATGGTAATTGTTGTCTAGATATGAATAGTATGATAGCACCATGGACACTACAGAATGCACTGTGATGTCTGATGCGTTGCAATTCCTAAAGAGTATGTTGTTATGCCGTGTGGTCCCGGCATAGAATGGGTCACTTCTTCATTTCTCATGAGTATCGTAAGAGGTTATAAGGAAACTTAATGGTCAAGAGATAGGCAGCAGCGTCTTTCTGAAGACATCACCAAAGCCTAACTGTGGTTGCCAACCGGTTTATCAAACGTTACGAGTATAGCAGAAATATGATTGGACATAGGTACCCATACAGATAACTTTTGAGCGTGTTACCTTTTAATGCCAGGTAATAAATAAAATATGTCTGCTAATTTATTTACTTAAAATTAAATCTATATTAGCATCTGTATATGCTTTAATTAGTTAATTAGCTGAAATGCAGTGTTCAAGATTGGAATAAATTTTAATAAAAAAAAAAATCACAAAGTATTTAGATAAGTAATGTGAAGACGATAATATTAACCTTTAATTGTTCACTGTTGAACATAAGTGTCCCCCTTGTGGGGGTTTTACTAGTAGTTGTCACGTTTGGCAGGTGGGTTAGCAACTGTAGTAAGACTTCGGTGATGTTTTAACACAGACCCTGCTGTCCATCTCTCAACCATTAAGTTTCCTTAGTCACCTCTTGCAACACCCACGGGAAATTTCAGTAACATAATTGACATTATAAATCTATGTACTGACGTCTCTTTATAAAGATAAACATTTCTTAGATATTAATTGTGACTCGTAGATAAGAATTGTTAAATTATTTTACCAGAGGGAAACTTTGTACAAAAGTCGTTAACTTGGGTACCTCTGTCCCATTCGTGTTTCAACCGTAAAGCAGTTGTGTTTGCATGGCTGTGTTTCGGTTTAAAGGGTGGGATATGGCGTAAATTTACTGGGTACGGAGGAATAACACTTGAGTCCTCAAGAATGGCAACGCATAGGGGGTATCATGGGCGAAACAGTATACTCTGTTATATCCATGGTACTGCTCATGTCATAGGCGACGGTTACCACTTTCCATCAGGTGGACCGTCAGCTTGTTTGCCATTCTAAGTTGTATAAAAAAAAATTGTTAAATCTTACTTAACATTACGAAAAATAATCCATGTAAAAAGCTATGAAATAATCCCTTTCCATAATAACCACTGATGTAAAAATTTGTTATTACTTGTTAATTTGCGGGTTGAATAAAAATTATATAAACTAATTTGTATGCAATCGTTCGGCAGTAGTGTTCATTCGATCCAGATAATATGCATGTTTGTGATGAGGTAACTATTGTACCTACTCGTATTGTAAACACAAGCGATAGATTATGTATCGGAGAATAGTATTTAGAATTATTTTATTATATATCCTTGCTAATGTTATAAATGTGAAAGTTTGGTTTCCTCGTTATCTCTTGGCACTTTAATGATTTAACCAATTGTCTTGAAATTTAGCATATGCGTAATATTTGGGTCTGCCGTGTTCTACCGGCAGAATAGGCCACGCCTTCTTTTCCCGTGGGTGTCGTAAGAGGCGATTAAGGAAGGGCGAGAGACGGGCAGCAGCGTTCTTCTTAAAACATGTCTAAAGCCGAACTGCGGTTGCCAATCGTGGCAACTACTTCAATAAAACCTCCCAGGGGAGGCTTATGGTTAGCAGTGGACAGTTAAAGGCTGATATGATGATAATGATGTAGTATTTGGAATGAAGAAGGATTGTTAATTTTTATTCCTTTCGTTCTTGTGGGAAAAGGCAAGTTTTAAACATAAATATACAGTTTATGTATTACACATATACAACAGATACAGAGTGTAGAGACAGAAATATTATTGTATTAGTTCTTTTATGATGATACCTGTAATTATTGTTATCATGTCGATACTCGTAAATTTTACTATCTTTCTTCTTATTAAAGGGTTCTTAATTCTGCTTTTAGCATTAAATCCGCCATGTACACATATATGTACTAATGAATAAATAAATAAATAAGTAAAGCTGACAGGGATTAGTGGAAGAGAAAAATA